GCAGGAGAGGGTTTGTGCAATCGGCGTCATCCTCGCAGGTAACGCCCGCAACAGCAGCAATGCAGAGGTTGGTATCAGTATCGCACTCGGGCAACAAAGGGTTGGTGCAATCAGCGTCGGTGTCGCAAGTCACGCCGCCGACGATGGCCTCAATACAGAGGCCTGTTGCAGTGTTGCAAGAGGGCAAGAGGGGGTTCGTGCAGTCATCGTCATCGTCGCAGGTCACGCCCGCAACAGCAGCAATGCAGAGGTTCGTATCGAGGTCGCAGGCGGGAAGGAGAGGGTTTGTGCAGTCATCGTCATCATCGCAACTGACTCCCCCGACAACAGCCTCAATACAAAGTCCTGTAGCGGTGTTGCAGGAAGGAAGCAAAGGGTTGGTGCAGTCATCGTCGTCATTGCAAGTGACGCCCCCAACAGCAGCAATGCAGGTTCCAGTTGTCGAGGAACATTCAGGCAGCAAATTATTGCCACAGTCCGCGCTGGTTCGACAGTTGACATTGGGCAATCTCAAAACGCATACGTCAATACTGTTGCAGAAGGGTGTAAGGAGGGGGCATTCTGCATTTGATGTGCATGCCTGTGCCGTTCCTGAACTGCCAACGAGGGCGAGGGCCGCGAGGCCGAGTAAACGAGTGTTTTGATGCATACTGACAGAAAACGAATGAGTGTCAAGAAGGAAGAAACAAAACGAAGGTTGAAAGTGCTGGTGCTTGCTGAATGAAAGAATGTCTGAAAGTTGAGAATAGCGTCGTTCTTATACCCAAAATCTCGACGCGTTTATCCCCTGACTTACCTATTGTGAAGTTAGTCTCATGCTTCATTTTCCAACATGCCATGGAGATGGTCGAAACCGAGAATCATTCCTTGTAAAGACACAGTAACATTGTTTTCGCCCTCGACGCAAACAATATCACTGTGTGTCATCGAGGGGATCGGAAACACTTTGGCACGCCCTTCAGCAAGGCTTAGTATGATCGCTTCGTTGGCCAGATACTGATACCCCACGACTCTTTTAGACGTGGTGAAGTATGTATAGCCCCGCAAGAAGACGTTCATCAAGGAATGTGAGTTCACCCTGAGTGTCATGGACGAAGCATCACTAAAGGGATGGAGGTAAAATGGAGGAGGTGATTAAAGAAAATAATAGTTTAGATTGAAGGGGTGAAGTGAATGCCGATATGGGGGTGACATTTTTGATTGTACATAATTGTTTAGCGGAGGCTTGGAACAAGTGCCACCCACCGCCAGTCTTGATCGAGTTGCTCAGGGGATCGAGGTTTCCAGTAGTGGTGGCCTGCAAAGTAAAACCTTGGTCGCCACGGTAGAAATGCTGAGACTGGCAGTCTTTGCCTTTATGGAGACCACAAAGACCACGATACCACTGTTAAATCATATATAATGTTGCTTACCTAGCATTACTGCAATTTAACACCACTCGTGGAGGCTTATGCAATACAGTGTTATAAAGGTCACAGGGGTATTTTTTGTTTAGAAACCGTATGTTAAGTGTAAGGGCTGGCTTGGTACTTCTGTATACTTAACAAAGGGTAAGATAGAAGGTCTCTCCTCACTGCATCATGTATGTAAGATAGCGGAAATGTATAAACTAAGCCCCTGTGTTGTGTTAGGAAGCTAAGCAGGGGGTTGGAAGAACAAGCCATCACTTGTTAAAAACCCCGCTCTCAAGTTGGGGACGTCCTATAACCCGGGGGGGGACCTCACACTGCTTTCCCTGCTTTGAAAATCTAACGAAACAGGCAGGTGGGTTACAAAAAGATCAAGACTCCTCTCCCTACTAATGTCAATGTTTGAGGTGTCTTGGCATCTCGGCTTTTTGTTACCCACCTGACTGACAGCAATAACTGATCTGTCATCCGATTCCAATCGGGGCTGAGCTTGATAGCCCATGTAATTTGTTTCAAGCCACCTCTCCGTACACTTCCAGACCCCGGCATATTCCGAATGTGATCATTGCCGTATTGAGACATGATAGAACAAGATGCATGCCCCTGAGGCAACCATGCTTTCAAGGCCAAGGAAGACTTTGATTCGTAACACTAGGCCTCAAAACCTACGATAATATTTTATGTCTATGTTCAGAGACAGAGTCAATTTAAGGTAGCTTGGATGTGGGAAGGCGAGCCATGGAAGAGGGCTAAACGTGCCCTAGTCTAGTAGCATCTCGGCAGTCGGGCTCCGATGGAGAACAGCTCGATGTGGGATGTTACACAAACTAACGGAAGAGAAGATCCGATATGCTACATCACAACCAAGACAGTCACAGCTAAGACACCAGCGGCTGAACGTTTTCATGGCGTTTTGTCCTTCATCATCATAGAACATGGGAAATTGTCGTCCAAACGAGATGTAGAACCGGCTAAACTTTGCACTACAGGCAATGAAGTGGCGGACTCCCCTCGGAATGTAAGACACGAGATAACAGAAGGCGTTTGTGGGGCTAGAGGGACACCAATCAGTGTGTGAAGTCGACATCTGAAACAATTTCAGGGCTGGCAAGTTCCGGTAATCCCGACACAATTCCCTCCTAGCGTAATTGTGAATATGATTTGTTAGCCACGTACACTCCAGACCAATCAACACGCAACAAAGGCTAAGCGCCCGTCACAGTGAGATGCAAGGGCGACGGGATACTGTGTATTTACGATATACGCCCCAGATCGAGGAATGTACAATCAGAAACATTCATCTAAAGTCTAGACCAATTTATCTCAGACCCCTCACACTGCGGAAATTACACTGGATGGACTGACAGCGGAATTGCGGCGCACAGTTTGACAAATGTAATCATTAGAGGTGGAGCGAAATTAGTCATGCGACTCTATCATGACCGGCAGTGTACAGCTGTCTGACACTAGCGGTACTGTATTCACCAGCTGAGACTCCTGACCCATGCTGATTCAGGGTAGCACGTTGGTGACACCAGGAAATAAACAGGCTCAAGTACTTGATTTGTTACTGCAGGGATAGAGAGACAGGATGGACGTGCATACCTTAAACTAACAGCAGACATATGTGGCAGCTGTGAATATCCGTAAGCCACTTACGATACGATCTTCGGATATGTTTTATCCGGCAATTTGTGTAACAGCCGGTGCATTATTGAATGCTGCAGCGTGATGCTGCTGCTAGGTGGCCTATGTCTACAATTGTAAAGAAATTTAATAGACTCTATGATAGGATATGTTTATAGTAACAAGACTTGAGCCTTACATCCCTTTTCAACTGGGTATCCCTACCATTAAGTCTTTTGTAATCAGTAATGCGTAATTATTAGAAGAAAATAAATATCTGTTTAGTTAAAGTGTAGGGTATGTAACATCAAGTTGACCGCAGTTCGGTTTATAAACTATGGACAGATAATGCTCTGCTATTGAATACCAGAATCGGGACTTATTTGTGGACTTGAGAAAGCCGGTATGATGATGGGCTTTTGCAAGAACAAAACACCTGATGTTACTGTTCATTAACACCTTTCCTGTCTTGGACGGTTAAGTCACCAGCATTACACGCAGGAATAGCTACGTAGTAGAATGCCCAGACCGGGGTTAATGAAGGGTCACTTCAATTCGGAATAATTGTTCCGTAAATTGTGGAGCCCTGGAGGTTCTTACTCCCCGCAATTCCGACCGGTACGCGTTTATTTCCCCAAGCGAGAAACTTCGCCGATATCTCGGTGAACAATATCTCTCATACAACAAGCCATTCTTCCCATATCACGCCATGAAAACGGCTGTGGAGGTGGGTCAGAAGCCTTTCGCTAGAAATTAACCACGGATTTATCGAACGCTATTACAGTAAAGATCGTCTGGAGAAAATAAGCGAACAACTGCCATTCGTGTAGAAAGATTGTCGGACCGATACAACACGCGCCAAGTCCATGTTCTCGGTGCGACTCCCCAGTTTCTCCAAAAAATCCCACGTCATTGACATCACCGTTCTCCAGATCAGCGTGATTTTAAGTTGAGGGTTTGCGGGGAAGACTTTTCTAACGGGCCGATATATCGTCTGGTGTTTATTTCCTGGGGATATAAAGAGGTAGATTAATCGCAGTAGGATTTTAGAAGAAGCAGGCTTGTTCTCGATACAATTAATCATGATGAGAAACGCTCTGTTTTCGACCTTTGTTGGTCTTGTCGCCGCCCAGTCTTCTACAACTGTTTCTGTTCCTACTGGTACACCTATCACCGGTGATTACAATGGCACCTACCGTCCTCAAGTCCACTTCTCTCCACCTTCACATTTCATGAACGACCCCAATGGCATGTTCCGTGATGCCGATGGTCTGTGGCATTTGTACTACCAGTACAACCCTACCCAGCTCGTCGCAGGAAACCAGCACTGGGGTCACGCAACATCCAAGGATCTCTACCACTGGGTGAACCAGCCCATTGCCATCTTTCCTCCCGACAACGAGACTTTTGTATTTTCGGGAAGTGCAGTCGTTGATGTTAACAACACTTCTGGCTTCTTTCCTGATCAGGACAATGGCGTTGTTGCCATCTACGTAAGTACTGCGAGAAACTTATTTAACTCCACACTAACACCGCTACAGACACTAGCTTCGTCAACGGTGCAGGACCAGGCCATTGCGTACTCTCGTGATGGAGGATACACTTTTAAACCTTATGAGGGTAACCCTGTTATCGGCAGCACGTCCAACCAGTTCCGTGATCCCAAGGTCATTCGATACAATGATTCGTGGATCATGGTTGTTGCTTACCCTCAAGACTTTGAGATTGGTATCTTTGAGTCGTCTGATCTCAAGGAGTGGACTGCTACCAGCAACTTCTCCCACCATGGCTTGCTCGGTCTGCAGTACGAGTGCCCCAACATGATTCGCATGCCTTACCTTGATGAGGACGGCGAAAAGCAGGATGACTTGTGGCTCATGGCCATCAGCATCAACCCAGGTGCTCCTCTCGGTGGTTCAATCATGGAGTACTTCCCCGGCCACTTCAACGGTACCCACTTCGAGGCCATCGACGGTGCTGCCCGTATCGCCGATTTCGGAAAGGACAACTACGCGGGACAGTGGTTTTACGGTCTTTCTGAAGATGAGAACCCCGTGTCTATCGCTTGGGCGTCGAACTGGCAGTACACCCAGGTTGTTCCCTCTGGCAGCGAAGGCTGGAGGGGTGCTATGAGTCTTCCCCGTGAGAATTACCTCACCAAGGCGAAGCGTGTGGGTTGGAAGATGGTGTCCGTGCCTTATGATCTCAGCCCCGTTATGGGTCGCGAGCTTGCTTCCAATGATAGCTTTGGCAACTCCACGCTCACTGTTGACTACTCTGATGTTGAGTCCAACGCCATCTACTGGGAAGTCAATATCACCGGCATCCCGGATAGCGGCGTGCTATCTACCGCATCGCTTAACATGACATTCCTGAGCACCGTCACCGATGAATCTCTCAGGGCTGGATACTACCTCGGCGGAGACCCCGTCTTCTTCTTCGACCGCGGCAACACCCGTGCTTTCGACAACATTTTCTTCACCGACAAGATGTCCACTGGAAGTCTCTCCCGAGAGGATGGCTCATGGAGCATGAGCGGTGTGATTGATCGATCTATCTTTGAAGCTTTCATCGATGGTGGTGTTGACAGTATCACCAACACCTTTTTCGCTACTCAGCCTTTGACTATGATGATTCTCAGCGCTAATGATTTGCCTGAGGATGTCAATGTTAGTGTCAAGGTTCACGCTCTGGAGAGCGCTTGGAGAGAGGAGCAGAGTGATGATGGACTTGTGCGTGGAAACACCACTTCGACCAGCTCGGACTAAAAGCTGTATATACATTAGTATAAATTTGTAAATTAACTTAATGATATCTAAACTTTTTATCTGAATATCGGCTCCAAGAGTGGAAGTATTTTGACCATACGTAAGCTGATGGGGAGTGGCTAGCGTAGTGGATATGCCGGACACCCTTGTTGCTGACGTTGGATATGTAGCTCTAAGATCGGAGACTTCTCGGATAATTTGCAAAACTGATAGACATGCTCTAGATGCAGACCGGATATATAATGCCTTTCTCGCTCCATGTGAAAAACCATACCTTACTCAGTTTATGGAAGACCTTATTGCAAAATGGCAACCGTACTTAGGAACATCGCAATTGTTGGTGTAAGTGAAGAGAACACCTGGCAACTTGCGACGAGGCCGTCAGTGTTGACACGCCTTAGGGTTCTGGACGTGTCGGCGCCTTTATCACAAAGGCATTGCACGAGTCCAATCAATTCAACCTTACCGTCGTTACTCGAGTTAGCTCAAAGGTAACAGACTACCCATCACCCATCAAGACCGTCCAGGTACCAGATGACTATCCACACGATAAGGTGGTCGAAGCCTTCCGCGGTAACGATGCTGTTGTCCTAGCTATAGGATTTGCAGGCGAACGTCACCTACCGTCATTGGCTCGTGCTTCTGTTGAAGCTGGCGTCAAAAGGCTAGTCGCGTCTGGTTTCGGCATCGATGCAAGCAACCAAGCAGCTGCTGAAGTATTTTCGGTAGCTGCGAACAAAGTAGCCATGATCAAGGATTTAAAGTCTTTGGAACAACCAGGATGGTCTTGGACAGATGTAGCCTGTGGAGTATTCCTAGACTTGTAAGTCATCCTTATAACTCTGAGCAGGTCACATACTAATATATACCAGTTGCATCCAAGTTGGCTTCTTCGGTATTGATCCAAAAATCAAAAAAGCTAAAATCTGGGACGACGGAAACGCAAAGTTCACAGCCACTACGCGCGAGGCTATAGGTCAAGCCGTCGTCGGCATCCTCAACCATCCTGAAGAGACACACAATCGAACAGTCTTTATATCATCGACCGAGTTATCGCTGAACGATATACTCGCGGAGGAGAAGAGAATTGCCGGTGAAGATGGATGGGATATCTCTTATGTCAAGACTGAAGAAGAGATTTCCCGCACAATTGAAGCTGCTAGGACAGCAACGGAGTTCATGCCGAGGATGTTGGCAGTTGGAAGAATAGGCCTGGCTATCAATATGCTGGACCGTTTTGGGTCTAACTTTAAGATGCGAGGCGTGTTGGAGAATGAGCTGTTGGGTGTTCCGCAGGAAAGCCTCAGGGAGGTTGTTGCGAGGATGAGAGCGGAAAGAGCTTAGACTACTCGTAGGAGCACCCCCGTCTTATAGCCGAGTTAAGCGCCTGCCATATTAGTTATAACCACTTGATAAGCCGTGCTAAGGTGATGATTCATTATACATTGCCAGGAACTCACTCTCACACTTTATGTCAACGGAGGGACAATGGTTCTGGAAACATTTCCCACACAGAATCAGCAGATGGGTTGAGGTTACGAGATGAGCTGAGAAGCACGGTCTGTCTAGTATATTTGCTCAAAGACTGGTTGGAGGAAATCGATGACGAATCTGAAACCGAGAGAATTCTCAAGTCTGCCTTTATAAAGTCTCTTGTAAAGTCCAAGGGCCCTCTGCGCAAGAAAGAGTGTTGACGCTGGTAGGAATTGGTCTTCTTGATGAACAGCAACACCTTTTTAGCTTCCCTTCTAGATGACCGCGTTCTATCTGCATCACAGAACAACTATTCAAGAATACATAATTCTAGTATAAAATCCTCAGCTATCGCTAAGCAATGCGGTAGCTCTTTACAGCGCACCTGAAGTTCGCGATGGAAAGATACCGTCAGACCAGTTAGTTTGGCCTTCTCGTCTGGGAAATCATCAAAGATGGCGATGGTTACTTTAACCCATCTTGGATTCAAGAAGCCTCTGATACAGACAAGGTATCACGTCAAGAGGAGTATCTTCAAAACCTACCAACTGATGGCTTGCTCAAGCATGCCTTGAGCTTCTTATGCTCAAGGTACACAAACTCAAGCTTTTTAGATGTCAATCTCTTCTATCATGTATTAGAATTGACACTGAAGGATGATCCGAACCGTCGAGAGGACCTTGCCACAATTGCAGTAGCACTTGACTATTGTGATAGATAGGCTAAAGTCATCACCGGAATTATTTTTGTTTATATGCTAACATTTTTACTCTTGAAAAAAACAGAGCCAATATTACCCATGCTATTACGAGCTTTATTGAAGCCAGTATAACTACTTCAGTAAGTCACATATTTCAAACTACTGAAAATACTTAAAACGTACTTTTAGATCTAACTTACTACTAACAGGATTGGGTTCTATGATACAGCTACACTTGAAGATACTACTTTAAGTATATCACTAGGATAGATGAGGGTGTCTGTGGTGGAACGTGTTTACTGTTTCTTTCTTTTATTACAGAGTAACATATATCTTGATAAGGCTAAACAGATTGCATTTCCTTGAGCTAGAAATAATTGTTGATAGTAGTATCATGATCTTGCAGACTTGTAATCGCCTTCACTTACTTACAAATAATGCCATCTCGTGTCTTCGCTTCGTTTCGAATCCTATGCGACATCCAGATTGAGAGAAGTCTATTCTGCAACCTGTATTGCTTGAGCGTGATGCTGTTCTTTTCTGACTTTCCTTGACCTTTTCCCTGGGCCATGGTTCAAAGATACGAACCCCCCGAAACATGCTTTTCTTTCGAAATTGAACCTTTAGCCAAGATCTGCTTCAAGTTAATAACCTTGCCTATCAAGTGTCCATCATCCGCCTTCATGGGCGCATACAACTTCAACAACTCATTCAGTCTTCCTCTCTACATACAACTCTTATACTTCTAGCTCGCTGCTAGCTTATCAAATTCTTCAAACGTCTTACACTTGAAGTAATTAGCCTATTCAGGGACTATATACTCAGCCATAATGATTCTGCGAAGACCTTGGAATATATTTATTTATATGCATACAACATTGTTAAAGGTCCTTCCTGGATTCTTGAGTCGGGACATTATCTCCAAACCACTGGTAAAGTGGATCAAAACGACCCTCTTGAAAATGGGCGTCGTCGTAAGCCCAAGAATCGACTGCGAGGCCCCGGTTCTTCTCATCAACCCCATCCAGTGAGTGACGTTGTAATCCCTCCTATCCTGCAGGCTCGAATCATTCTAACTTACGGTCTTCCAAGTTCTAGGGCTTGGTAAATGAATTTGATGACGCTCGTAATAAACCCAACTGACGTAGGTGGCATTTATTCTTGTATTTTGTCACAAGAAACAGGTAAAGAAGCGTTTATTGCGCAGTACACTTACCCGACCTTACACAAGCTACTATGAAATTAACGTGTTGACCAAGTCGATGGTAGAGGAAAAGTGGTGCAAGGGATAAAGTTACGTGTTTTGGGGATGCCGAGGCAGACTATCCCGGAAAACCGGATCAGTTAGCGGGATTCATTCTTGGCGTGCATTGTCGCAAAACAAGACATTCTTTCTATTATCTTTATTGACCGCACTTAGCAGCGAAGATATCTTAATGTGGATTCAAGCTGCAAGTTAATGTTAAATGTTTTTAAATTGCGCCTTTGCAAGCTATTGCTCTTTACCTGAAGCGTTTTGCGGATGTTCGCGCAGATGTTTTGCTAGAAATGGGATTGACGTTAAGAGTTCGAAGGGGTCGTTCCCACCTTCGCCACGGACCCAGTCGATTGGAAATTCACATAAGGTTTTGGAAGATATTTTAGGCCTCCTTAGTAAACTGTGTGAGGGTCATCGCTGGCCTAACTCAAGGCCGATATCACCTGGCATACACCGCGTCGACGGCCGATGGAATTCGGCTGCCTGCCTATTCGAGGTTGAACGGGGAACATGACGCAGACCTTCTAAGATTCCAAATCACTCCTTGAGGCGGACTGAATATAAAAGAAGATGTTTACAAAAGGACATCCTCTCTGCTACACAAATTGAGATTATCATCTTCCTCTTATACTCTTTACCATCAAAAAGCAATTCTTACAATGGGCAGTATTCCAGAAACAGCGCATTTCTTTTTGTAAGTATGGCCTTTTAGGTGTATGCGCCCTCTCTACCATGTGCTAATGATCCCAGCGACATTGATAACTGCTTATATACGCGTGGTAAGCCCAGCCCTCGAACCTGGACCAGTCTTCCAAGTATCTGACTCCGGGTAGATTATCAGGTAGAAGAGCGTATGTCAGATCTCATTAGCTCATACGTTAAAAACCAACTTGGGAAGTCCCCCGAGGAAACCAAACGCCTTCGCGAAAAGTACAAGGAGGAATATTGCGACGACATTCAGGGTCTTGTGCATGACTTTCAGATTAATGTACTTGACTATAACTCCAAAGTTGACAAGGCACTTCCGCTTGACGGTCTGATTAAACCAGACCCAGAGCTTAAGAGACTACTTGAAGACATTGACACTACAAAGGTTAAACTTTGGATTTTTACCAATTCATATGTTACCCATGCAGAGAGAGTTTTGAACTTGCTTGGTGTCGATGGGTTGTTTGAGGGTTTAACATACTGCGACTGGCAACAGCAGCCGATCATAGCTAAACCACAAGGCGAGATGTACCAAAAGGCTATGAAGGAAGCTGGAGTCTCTAACGCCTCCCAATGTTACTTTATTGGTAAGTTCACATTGATGGACCAAGTTCAGTTCATATACTTTGACTGACCTGACAAGACGACTCATGGAACAACTGTGCCGCTGCAGAAGAGATGGGTTGGACAGCTATTCATTTTGTTGAAGAGGGACTTTCACTACCAAACAAGCCGGCGTCCAAACATCACGTGCAGAGGTTTGAAGAGCTGAAGCTGCTTTTTCCTCACTTCTTCAAGCATGAGCAATAGTTATCTTAGTACCTCAATAAGACCATATGATTATTCTCAAGTTATAATAGCGTTACATTTCTGGGTTTAAGAATAATTCGAACTCGAAGTCGGTTAAGACATGAAGCCTATATGAGTGCTCCATGTATTCGGTTGAGCCTCTGGACGAAGCCTGACACACTTTGCAAATAAAGACGGTACACTTTATCGCGGACTCCGAAATATTGGTTCGGTATCCTGACGCGGGGTTGATAGCACGAACCTTCAATAAAGGCAACCTAAGAAGACATACATCTTTCACTAAACCGATACCAGCCGAGCGTAGACAGTAGAAACAGCTTGGAGGTCTCGTATTGATCTAACTAAAACAGTCTTCCATTGTTTTGAAATTTCAATTCACAGTTGTGCTACGCCCGTCCCTGTGCCGCTGCCGATAGTCCGATCGATGCTTACCGGTAAGTGAAATAAGACGTCACGCGTTTATTCTTATAGGCTCATTATAAATGCCTCACTCAAAACCTCCATCTTCACCATATAGCAAATCCTAGAATACGGGTGAAGCCAAGCATATAAAGTGGATTGCAAGAAGTGAAGTGGTGGCATGGCACGTTGCATTGCGAATCCTTCAAAGTTATACCCCGCGATAGCCTAGCAAATCCGCGATCGCAGAATAGTATCTTGACATTGTAGGTGATACTGACCTCCGTCCTTCAAACAAAAACGTATTGTTGCCTTGATTACAGGTATAAAAGACCTTCCATTACCTGTGGGAATCTGCACTAACAAACACAAGATAACCCTTATTACTCTTTACAAATCATACCACCGTACTAATAAGTCAAAATGAAGTCTTTCTCCTATCTTCTGGGCTTGATGGCAAGCTTTGTTGTAATCTGCTCCGCGAATTTTGACCTTTACATCCAGATTGCCACCTTCTACAACGGGCCAGAATTCACTCAAGTGCAACGTCAGTGGGCTATTTTTGAGGCTGACCCGAGTTGCGGAGAGGCTGTTGACCAGCCGTGGTATTATGACCGCGGAGATGTCTCTGTTGCCAGAGGCGTCCGCTGCGCCGGCGATGGCTGTGATCCTACAGGGGCTGCAAGCGAGATCACCAAGCTTGAGATGAACTTGGGATTTGATGATGACGTCTGGCATTGGAGTAAGTTGAATGGAAACCCATGAGCAGTGAATGAGCCTGGTGACTGATGTGATCCTCGTACCATAGCGATCTACCGAGACAGACCCAGAGGCCAAAACGGCGGCTACCTGATGTACGGTTTAGATGGTAACACTTACGGCGAGTGTATCCTCTTTCCTGGCGACAACTGGACCTGCGATCAAGAACCGTTCTTGATTCTGAACGGAGCGAGGAAGTTCAGATGCCTGACACAGTGCTCTGTAAGCGATATTCAGGGGTAAGAGGTGTTCCAGGGGGTACTGGGTACAGTAATACGATTACATAAATACAACTATCCTGCCCCACACTTTATCTTTACATTATCTACATGAAGATTTCCTGTACAAAATCATCTGCCAAGGATCTAAATTATTACTAGATAAGTCTTTATATAAAGCCCAAGTAAAACATGCCCATTTGCAAGATCTACCTGACCAAAGACGTAATACAGCAATTGGATCGTATCAACTCTCATTGACAAGCAGCGTTTATCAGTGAAAGATGTATTTACAATCATAAAATGGTCAAGTCTGCTGGTCTTAGACCTGTTTTGTAAGTCCTCGTGCAGCTTGAGATTCGATCGGCCTTGTCTACGATGAGGGTTGACTTAAGCATGAGGCTCAGACACGGTACAGCCTATACAGCAGGCACAGAATGCTGCAGTCAATTTGCTTAGGAACTAAACTCTTAAGAAGATAAGTAGAGTGGAAAGGTAAGAAAATCGCTTTATTTAATATCGTGTGGGTATTCTGATAGCATCAGTAGGGGTATGAGGTAACGACCAGTTTCAAAACAAATATAAAAAGCGACCGGATTCCATTGATCCCCGTGACCTTGGAAACCAACTATACTTACTGATCTCGATCTCTCTACTTTTTCAGGCCTTTATTATCAATCTCAGATACAAAAATGGTTCTCGACTTAAAGATCAGCGGCTCGTCACGGACAGCTTCCAGCGCCGACGTCTTAAACCGCTGTGATTTTTGTAGCTAGTGCGCTGTTAGGGCCCGATTACGATAAAAGAAGCAATAATCCCATTGTGAGAGAGGTTACATGACTCCAGTCCCCCTCATCGCTATCTAATCGGCCTGGGCCGCTTCAGGCTTCCGGCTCCAGACTACCTTCTGTTTAAAGTACGAGTGGATCTTGGGCGAAGAAATCTCACGACGTAGGTGGGAGACAAACACAGTGACCTCCGGTTCAGTCCAGCCTAAGAGAGTGGCCATCTGCATTACACTTCCCTTCGCATCTTGGTTAATGGCAGCTTGCGTGTACTGTCCTATGCTCCGCAGCTTTGGATCTTTCGGCCAACCGCCAACGGGATTCTAGAAATGGTTATTCGTTGCATCGCTAATTCAATCGATGTAATACTTGCCTTGAAAACTCTTTCTTCAATTTCAACAAATCCAGCCTGTCGCATAGCCTCTTCTTGTATACTGTCCTCATAGACCGTAAATGGTCGGCCGATCTTGCGTCCCCCTTCCCTGAAGAATCGACCCCATTGATCCAATGGGCCGCCTTCAACGACCGTACCGTCATCACTTTCAAAGCATGACGACGGCTCAAAGCTTTCGATGTAGCCGCCGGGCTTAAGGGCCCTATAAGCTTGTTGGAAGAGCGCCGTCCAGTCCATGATACTGCCAAGCATCCAGCGGATGTGCACATAGTCAAGAGATTCTGGCTGGAAGGTCCATTCCTGAGTGCAGTCGTCTATCTGACTATATCGGAGGTCATTAGCGTTTTACTTAGAGTGTATAAAAAGCCAATAGCTCTTACAATTCTAGGTTCGGCGGTACCCAACTTGGTTGGATGGGCGCTAGATCAGTCCCAACTACTGAGGCATGTGGAAACATATCGGCAAATTCGCTAGAGTGCTGTAAGCATATTACAACTAAACCTGATTTGATTCCAGGGCTACTCACATAGCCCAGATTCCTTTTCTCCTGTCAGTCTCTTAACGGTGTTGACATTATATACAGTACTTACCTGTGCCAGTTCCAATATCTACAGCCGCCTGTCGAGATTTTATCATCAATAAACTGTTCATGACGTTGTTTCAGGGACCATACCTGTATGTTCTCTGAGATTGGTGCCAAGTAGAGCTTATCACCCATCAAGAGGGTGAGCACCTGATGGCTAGGGGATATTGATAAGTTGAAGCCCCAAATTGCTATACAAAACTCACTTAATGTCCATAGCTTCCTGACTGGTTTCATCAGTAGGCCCCCTGTTCCATGGTTAGCTGTAAGTAAATACGTTTCTTGAAATATTAACAAACCAATAATCAGCATTGCCCCGGTCGCTGTGGTACGATCTGCCATGGATTGTCCTGTACTCCAAGATGCTGGAGCTTAGAGATCCTGTTGAGCTGGCATTGTCAGATATGGTCGATTCAGCATCACCTCTGTCGTTGTCCTCCTAGAGAACAGGTTAGCTTATCGGGAGGTTAAAGATTCTGAAATATCTGGTACCGCTTACTTCGGGTAAAGCCGCCCAATGTTCCGGAGGAAGAAGACCAGTCTCGCCGTGAGGGGATCCCGGATGACGAGGGCTCGCCGATGTCGATTTGGGTGACACCTGACGGGCAGCTTGATCGTGAGCTGTCAGACTAGACATCTTGCTGATGATGTTTGAGTGTGTGGAAGAAGAAAATGGGAATGGTATGATTGATGTTTTTATCCGGGTGTCGAATGAGGAGGTAACAGTATGAAGGTTGCTATGCACTGTACTGTTATGCATGTTGGTTCAATACACGCCCGCTTTTGCCAAGGTTGTTTGCGAGTCGACCAACAAGATTTCAGTTTGACCCTGTACCATGCTATCGCATGTCGCGGGACTCTTCCGGCGTATCCCCATATCTGGAAGGTGCCTTTTCGCATGCATTCCACGCCGCATCTTCTAACCGAGTCTTGGAAGTGACGCTGGTATGATCTTTAAGTGGTTGGCCAGCTCATCTATTTTGGTAGACATGATTATAAATGAGATAGAGATAGTTATGTATTATAGTGATGTACCTTCTGATGGCGACTGCCGAGGGCGCTCAGTATATCAGGATCGCCAGTTATCTGGCCATCGTGGATTGGTTCATAACCGCAAACCTGTCTATTCAGACGACACGTTAGACGTTTGTCGACGTCAAGATAGCTTCAGTCCTGGTATAAGGGCAGGTACTATTGGAGACGATTCGTCAAGGTTGTCTAGGATCAAAGCCAGCAAAGCTAAGAGGATTCTATCCAGGTTTTCGTGAAAGGGGTAGAAGCTATAGATACAAGGCAGACTTACAGGAGACATAGATTGACTTATTTATATAACCAACGCTTCAAGAAGACTAAATGGTAGAAGAAACAGTCTAACGTCCGTATTCAATCGCTGCATCTATGAATTTAATGTGATTTTCATGTGTAACTACAGTGCTAAAAAGCTCCTTCTTACTGGCTGTATTCCTGCTGATCGATGTGGCTGTCTGTGGTTCGTTCAACTATCGGGTGTTTCATACCATAAGTAAGTCAACGCCTGATTGGCATTTTCAACCCCTTACCCCTCATTCAATTCTTCACCCGAGTGTTTTCACATTGCCTCCGTTAACAGGTTACCTGAAACTCTCAGCTTACAGATATATTTGTCTTAATTCGTTTTGTTCATATTGCCTGCCCATTAGATTCCCTTGTGACACATCTACAGATTTGTCTGTTTTTCCGTTGGCCAGGTAATTGACAATGGCCCAGCAAGAACGAAGCCAGCTAGAATCGCTAAGCGGCAAGGTTGATGCGGCACTCCAGAATGTACCAGCAGGGAGGCCTCCGGAGGCCGCTTTCCTCGAAATCTGGCAGGTTGTTCAACCGGATTACGAGAGTATGCGACTAGACGTGCACCGGTTCCTTTCCCGTCTTGTCGATGAGAAGCACGTACAGGCAACTGTAGCTAGTCGCACAAAGACTCTCGAGTCTATCTCCAAGTCTATCGACCGGCGTAACGATGCCAAACTAGAAAAGCAGAAATACCAGTCTCCTCGAGAAATATTTGCTGACTTGCATGATCTTGTCGGCCTCAGAGTGGTAGTTGACTACCCACGCGGTCTAGACCAGTATTTCCACTTGATTGAGGAAAGCTTTCAGGTTGACAGATTCAACGCCTTTTCCTCGGAACGGACCATCAGCCAACATTGGATTCCAAGATTTGGAGCCTATGAAACCCGCAACTATCTACTGCGCTTGAACTCGAGTGAAGAATTTGCTCTCTATGCTGGGGTGCTCTTCGAAATTCAAATCACGACGATGGCAGAAAGCCTATACAACAAGCTATCCCACTCACTCCTTTACAAAGCACCACAGGGCGGATTATCACGTAAGGACGAAATGGTAATCGACATGGGACATGGAGCTGCTCTGCTCTATTGGATAACTATTGCCTGTATGGAAGACAGGCTCGAGGGGAATTTCGAAGAAATGGATCCGAGAAGCAGATTCCCACCATCCGTTAGAGACCTGGCTGGGTGTGAAGATACAGTCATGAACCTGGACGCCTTGGTTGATTCCACGCCCCTTCTCCCATCAACCTCGAATCATGTAACGTCCCGAGACTATCTTTTGGAGTCTTTTGAAGATATTCGACGCTCCAGCATCTCTGGAGAGAGTATTGCAGAAAGTATTAGAGAGAAACTAGGGTAAGTTACATTCACTACCGGACATTACAAGAGGAAAAGTACTAATGGATATATGTTGAGGCTTGACCAGAATCGATTCAGTTGTTTTCCGATTCTGCCCGATGCTGTCAATGAAACTCCGCAGAAACGTAAAGGTAGAAATAGAGGCTATATCGAAGGACTTCTCGCGTGTGCTTACCCCCAAATCCTGCTCAACAATGAGGACTTTGTCCAGAAGGAGCCAGAAATCTTTTTCTCTCGAGCACTACTCAACAACTACTTCAGACCTTTAGTCACCAAGCTCCTTCACTGCAATTGCCATGAATGCAAAAAGTCTAGAGATGGCTGTATGGATCACTTATGGCTTTTGGACAAAGAACGCCAACTTCACAGACATCCATGGGTCCTCGGCTTTATGATTTACCTTGGAAACCTGCACTACATATGGTATTGGATGAAATGGGATCTTTTTGATACCAGGGGAGAGCTTCAGGTCTCCATTATGGACGACGAGCGTTTAGAGACGTTAATAAAGTCAGAATATGGTCGATCGAGTTTCGAGGAAGCCTACAAACGCGCCAGGTTAATGTTCTACCCGACGACCTTCGAGATTGAAGATTATGAGACCTGCCCTTACCGGGAACTTCCTGACTCCTGCAGATTCCCTTATCTGAATAAAGAATCCATATTAGGAAGCGGGTTCTACAAGGTCGAGATACTCCCTGAACATCTAAATAAAAAGATGATCGATCTTGTTAGGGAAAAGTACCCGGCTTCAGGCACGAATGTCGGTAGCGAGAGAAAGGTATCGCACATATGCAAGTCACTTGTTTCACGTCTCGTAATATTAACACTGGCCAGCTCCTATTTGCGTTGAAGTCCGTCAGAACCAAACCTTTCTCGCCACTGCGGAATATGGAGCGGAATGTGCTAGACATGGTCTCACGAATCGAAGGGCCGGCTTCAGACAATACAATTACTCTTTTGTTCACATACACATGGAGAGATCGCATACATTTCCTATTTCCATACGTCAAGATGGACCTGGACCATGTGTTGCGGCACAAGATGTGTCCCCAAGATCATCCATCAAAGCTTGAACCAGGTGAACAGCTATCCGAACACTGGTTATGGCGACAGATAGCGGGTGTTTGCTGTGCTTTGAGCGTCTTCCATAGGGAGATGAAGAATCCGTTCCCAGATATCAGCGGAACCGTCATCGGAGTACACTTTGACCTGAAACTGGCCAATATCCTTGTTACTGCGGATGGGAAACTCAAGATGACTGATTTTGGACAGTCGATTATTCGAATCCTTGGTGAGGGGGAAGATATGACCATGCCTCATAATCCAGGAGATTTTCGATACGCAGCCCCAGAGTCTCGTCCAACTCTGGGCTACGTGAAGGATAACCCAGAAGATATTGAGGTACTTCTTAATTACGATGTGTGGTCGCTGGGATGCATCATGGTCGAGGTTCTCCTTCATATGCTAGATGTCCAAACCCTCGAGGCATTTGACCAGGCACTCGGCAAGGTAAAACCGGCCGGGTTCTTCACAGGCACCGGCCTGAAGCAATGTGTCAATTCATTATTGGAAGACGTTCGACATATATTCCGCAATAGCGCTCAGAGGTATTATATAGCAACGATAACCGACCTCATTCGCGCAATGCTGCGCCACGATGTAAAGGGCAGGCCGTATTCGTGGCAGGTTCTTGATGAGCTTCAGAGAGCACAGATCATGGAGCTGGCTATACCACGCGACCGAGTCACTCTGGCGGTGGTGCAGTACGAGCTTAAAGACAGAGTAGGCTTCCAGGAGCTGGGGTGGAACGATGGTCACTCAGCAGTCTCATTCGCAGACAAGTGAGTTCTTCCAATTAAATGTTTCACGCTTGCTAACCCTGAGCTTTTCTGTAAAGAGCAGGGATTACTCTCGAGCTGATTCATCAGCAAAAGGGGTATTCAGAGTTGAGAAGACTCTGCCGGATTCGACTTTTTCGGAGAACTACCAGACCAAACCTAGCACCAGTCGAGATTGCCTTAGTTTGGGGGGTCCAAATACCAGGAGGAAGTGTGGATGTACACCAACGAAAATGTAGGTATATCGCCAACACCTGAGCCGAACTATCGAAACTAATGGTTTGACTTGTAAATGCAGTCCTACTACCGAGATTGTGCTTTTCGCCAACCTACCTTTTCCGAGGTGAGACAAACGACAATGCAAGGTTCGAATGCAGACTCTTTCACATGGTGTGGCCTCCAGCTCGACAAAAGTCATATGACCTCGCATTCGTTTTCGAGTTTGAAACCCTTCAAGGCAAGTCGTTATGGCACTCTTCAGATCTTCGCATGGTCTGACATTCTAACCTGGCTCAACACAGATGTTTTGACGTTTCAGGGTACACTTATGGAGAGGACTATTTTCCCTCCTATCAAGTAACTATCATGACGCCATGCTAGATCAAGCTAACTTACTAACAAGATCGACAGTGCTTCAGTCAAAGCGATGAAACCAAAGAGACCGAGCATCTGGTCAAAGGAACGTCAGTCACCTGTCTTCAATCAACGAACATCGTATATTCAGTTGTTGGCCGGCAATGACCCGATATACTACGGCACTCCTGCAATGAATATCGATAGTCGTAAATTCAGAGCTGTCTCCATTCCAAGCTCCATTACCCCAACCACAATCTCATCAAGTAAAGATGAAGACGGATGCAGGACAATGGTCATTTTCTTTGAAGGCCTAAGCCCTGTGGTAATCGCCTGTACGTTTTAAACACCTCCACTAACCTGCTATAGCCTACTAATAGTGCTATACAGTAAACGACGACCATGAGGTGTTCCGTGCCAGTACCTCTGGTGGTAAAGTCTATGTCAGTATCGTAAACCGCCGGGGTCACGAATCCTATTCAGTCAGACAACTACCAGCACACCCGGCGTGGCAGTCTCAGAACTTGAACGAGACACCGCATACACGGTCGTCTATTCTGCTCGAGGCTAACTATCAAAACATTTCGAAAGCGTACAACAAGGAGTCCTTCAAGATGGAGGGTATTGAAATCGTCCTGGAAAGCTTACAGGGTGAGATTGTATATACTACCTCAAGCTCCTTCATTCTGACCCACTATCAGACTTCCAACGCCTTTATCAAGGAATAGGTACCGAGTGGGAAATTGATTAACAGTACCGGTAACACCATCACCAGATGCGATTAGTAAAGCACAGATAATGGGAAAAGGATAGATAGTCGCTGGACCAGGCGCTTCCTTGATGCCATGGGGCTTTTCCTACGCTACACCTCTTTACAACTCTTCCACAGTTTAGCTAATATAAGATTGAAATTGTTTCATTGGTTGAGCTATATTATCAACAGTTAGTTCCAACTTCCTGTCATTTGCTCTTTGAAGCATTTCTCCCCTTGCGCATTTCAACCTTGTTAGTCAGACTGACGGGATGGACACATTGTCATAGACCTTCAAGTCACCTGTTTACACCGGGGCCTAACCAACCTGGCAGGCCAGGGTTCAAAATGGAAAAGGGAAGCTTAAAAGCCTGGATGGAATAAGCCGAGAGAGAAACATACCTACAAGAGTCTTGAAGGGGTATCCAAGTTGGGAAGGTGTTGAGAAATGGTATATTCCATCCCAAAATATAATTCCGACGTCAGTCCCCCCACTCATCAGCTGGGTTATAAGCTAACAGAGTTAGAAACCTAATTCACCAACTACAAACGAGCAATGGCTCGTCTTAAATTGTGCTGGTTTGAACAGTACGACTTGATAACTGACCTTCCAAATCTCGAAAGGGCCTCACCTTCTAAATTTCCATGTACTGGGCTTTTGGCGGATCAAGACTGAAGAAATCTGCTTGGACTAGACTTCAGGACTACAAGCACAACTTATTTCGTGGTAAAGAATAGTCGAACCACGACGTTTCGCATTGAATACGGCCTACTTGTGCGCCGGGAACTACGGGCAGATTGAAGATTGTAAATCTTTATTTAAGTAATAATAGTCTGTTTGTTACAGGTTTGTCTTTGTAGTAGTCAGTCTTCTATCTATGAAACGTATAGTGTTAGAGCAGGGGAAGGAAATACGCCCTGGATAGTGTCCTAATCAGAATCATATTAAATCAGAAGTATACCTGTTACAGTTTATCGCACATTTGTTGTTTAAAGCGTTACTATTAGACTATATACAATACGTATTAGTATCGGCCTCTAAGCGCACCAAGCTCTGCCTCTAGATCATTAACCTCAGCTGCCAAACGACCAGTCTCCTCAAAACCTTCTTTGATCTGGTTTCCAGAGTCCTGGATGATCAAAAGTGTTGCAATATTTAGTGTCAAGCCGGACACATACGCGAGAGGAATGCTAGACGGCGGGCTCCATGCATAGCCCACAGCACTTGCTACACTTGTCAACAATGACGTGGCAAGCATCGTGTAAAAGACCTTTGGAAATTTTGTCTTAATTTTGCCTCCCTCGCCCTTGCGCAAGATTGGCTTGACGATGACGTAGAGCCCAGCGAACGAGGAAACGCACTGGCTGAGTGTGGAGTAGAAGTTACTGTCCAGTGCAGGAATACTTTCTGGCATTTCGCAAAGCATAGTTGAGCAGATAGCTAGCGGCAACGCTGCTATAAGTATCAGTACCACGGGAGACTTCACAAGATTGAAAAGTCTGGTCCAGTGATCCTCGGCACGCTTGGGAGAGGCCTTGGCTTTGCTTCGTGACCTGCACCATCTTCTCCTAGGGACGTTGATTGTATTTGCTTCCGTGGGATCTCCGGCTTCCGTCCGGCTTCTCCCAAATGATGTCCTCTAGACGATGCCACCTGTTGGAGGTGGACTCGAACCACTGGCCCATGACTGGGGACGAGACGTATGGACTATTGAAGAAAGGTACTTTTTCGTCCCTTCTCACGGTAAGCGATGGAACAATGAGAACTCGGAGAACGGTTGTATTTACCTTGTTTGATTCGCAGCTCTTCGGCTTTTGCCGTACAGTCTGAGATGCCCTTCTCGAACATATCGAATGTTTCTTGTGCCTTCAGTGTAATCTCAAAAAGGCTTGTTTCGGCAATCTCGTCAATCTGTCTGAAGGCTTCTTTGACGGAATTGGTCATAAGCAAAATTTCAGCAAGGTTGGATTTCAGGTCACTGGTTTTGTTGTCGATCCAGTCACCGCCTTTGGCTTTACTCTTCCAGTTATCGAAAACGATGTTCCATGCATACTCCAACATCCAGTCGAAATATTGGTGCAGTCTACTTAAGACGGAAGAGTATTCCGAGTTCAGGTAACGAAATGCTTGACCACCATGGTCTTCCGGTAATGCCAGAGAATTCAATAGATTTGTGAGATAGTGACACTGCAGAATCACTTGTGGGAAGGCAATTGAGATGGAAATCTCAGTGAGTTCCTGTTGCGCGTTTCGTGTGAGATAACAAATCGTTGAGCTGATCACCTTCAGAACATCAACAGCGTCAACATCGACCAGCTTTGGATGCTTGTCTCGCATGAAAGTCAAAGCTTCGTCTTTCAGCCTTTTGGCCTGGTCAGAATTCGCTGGCTGAAGTAGTGGACTGCCATCGTTTGTACTGTCTGAGCCTTTGCTCGTTGTGGTCTCTGAGATCCTTCGATGTAATTCGACATCCATCCTGTCAATAGAATGGAGCGCACGAGATAGTAAAGATCAAGCTTTTCCTCAAACGAATTAGATCTGGACATAGAACAGATACGAAAGGGGCTGAGGGGTCAATCAAGCTAGGTAGGCCATTCACTTCATTTCAACTTCGACTGGCTGCTGGTTGCCTCGCAATGCATACGTGCCCGAGGCAGACAAGGCATTTCGGCGGTCCAGTATGCGTACGTGAGTATTTCGAAGCCTTGACTACGGGTTGAGAGGCCTACAGATCTTTCTTTGCTTTTTCCTCTTTCAACCGTACGGTCTGGACAACCCATAGGCCTACGTGCATCAAACCACGACAGAGGAAGTAAGACAGTGGTATGGCGTCCAATGAACTTCCCTGGTCAGCCACAGCGGCTCAAATGGCAGTAACATGGCTTTGTCCGTCTTATTACGGAAGGCAACTTGGAAGGCAGTTTTTGCTTTCGTGCCTGTCTTTAACTTTTACCTTGTCTAGACTATACTGAAAGCGACCGGAGAGGACCAATAAACAGGCAAGCGATGAGAAATTAGTAGGTTAGAAAGGTCCAGGTCTTGTCTTCTACTTGGACACTGGAACCCTAAGTTCTTTAAGATAGATAAAGCTTATATAGCTTAATCTTCGGTTTCACCTTAAATAGTAATTGTTATAATTAACAGAATTAGTTGAACGATGAATTAAAGGAGATCACCAATTACCTTTTACCAAAGTAGCACATTATCTATTAACCGAGTTCCAGTTGCTTATCTCTCTCTTATCGCGGCAAAGCACGTGCTTGGTTGTGCGCAAGAGCATGATTGGTAGCGTAGACGTATAGCTCCACCGGGTACCCCGGGCTCTATAAAAGCACAGCATTGGAAAATAAAGACGCTGGTGAGCTTACGATAATGATATTGCTTCCCAATAGTCAACCTCCTCAGTACTACACTAGCTAGCGTACGATTGATAGGGAAAAAAAAACCAACGTGCTCTTATCCACCTATTAAGTTATACAGAGCACATTCACTGTTTTATCTCTCCTGCTCTTAAAGGACGTGGTTTCTAATGCTCGGATCTTACCCTATAGATTCATAGTACTAAGATGCGGCAAAGCGGTAGTTCGTCTTGAAGCTGCTGCGGAAAAAGCCCGATCTACCCCCCCTGCCGTTCCACCATTCCGAAAACAGAACGCTTGTAGATCAGCTAACTAAGCCCCGGTCGTCAATTGACAGGTGAGGACTACAACACTGTAGGGGTATTGTGCAAGGTCTCACTCAGCCACTTGAGTCTGACTATATATTGACATGGACAACCTGTCCCTTTTAGCACGGAGTTAGAGCTTCCCGTGACATCCTTTTCTTAACATGTTGAGCTTAATCCGATGTAACTAAGGACACTACCCAGCTTTCACTGGTCTGGCATTGAGAGTCTTGGAGCTGCTTCAGCGGTACTGGGCTTTATGGAGACAGCAGTCAGTCTTCTCGGTCGCTTGCGCGATGCTTACAACCGCCAAGCCAAACTTGCTACTATATTGGATACTTAGAAGCAGGAATTGGCCAGCACGAGAAATACCCTGCAGACTTTTAGAGATAAAAAAGGACTATAAACACCAGCACTCACTTGCGAGTTACGTTGAATTGAACGTTTCGGTAGTTGTCAAGCCCACAAAGACCTTCAATAAGGAGAAGAGCGGGATTTATGAATTTGCTCAGCAACTCCTTGCACAGGATCCTACATAATCTACGCTGGCAATAAATTCTATACTCCGTAGACGATTCGTGCTAGAAGGGCTAGGCACGCCAGGTACTCGGAAAATTAGCTGTAGGGTTGGCTGCTGGGAAAATACCTTCAAAGGGAAAGATTAACCGGGAATAGAGTGGAGATGTACAGATGTATTCCACTTAATTGGTTTGAGAGCAGAAATAGATAAGATAAGATAAGATAAAGTACTCGGCAGTGGCAAACTCCTACGCAACGTATACCTAAGAGGCGTTAGTTAATTTATCAGGTTTTCTCCTATCCTTCCTTGAAAACCCAGTACTTAGCTGCTGCAAGGACCAAACCCTATCAATCATGACCCCGTCCTCTACCAAGTTAAGATCGCTGCTCCCACGATCATCAGAAAGTCCCGATAAAGTCACTACCCCTAGCGACATCACGGGCCTTCCGCCGAGGCGTCGAGTATCTCGTACCAAAGTCGTGACTGCCTGTCGACCATGCAGGAAGAAGAAGATCAAGTGTGACGGCGCTCTTCCACAATGCGGTGTTTGTCGGTACAAAATGCGAAGCTGCGACTACCCGACCGAAGAAGCTCTCGTAGGAAACCTCGTGAAAGAGCAAAAGACCCTGCAGGATAATGTTGAATCTTTCACCACGCTGTTTAGATATCTGCAGGACAGACCTGCCAGTGAGGCTAACAGTCTGTTTGAGCGCATTCGCAACGGCCTGAGTATAGACTCTGCTCTTGAGTTTGTCAAGGCGGAGGGAAACAACTCGACATTGGCTTACCGAAATTCACACACCGCCAAAGTGAAACCGACTCAAGAGACTAAGGATTGCAACGTGCTCTTTGGGAATGACACCTTGTCTATCGAGGCCTCAGCGGCGGTTGTCCAAACTCTTCGCCATGGCGTCGACTGCTTTTTCTCCTACCTTGGCACTATGTTCCCGATCTACACAAAGTCCGAAGTCGATTTGATCATGAATACATTCCTCGCAAGCGAGCCAAGCCCAGATGATATGGTTGACAAAAGGGTTGCTTACGGTGAGCTGCTGGCGATTTGTGCACTGGGACTTCAATATGACAAGCAGACTTCATCCAGCGTTGGTGCGAACATCTGTACGCAATTCTTTGAGAAGGCTCAGTTGTTTGTGGATTACGTCCTTGAGAAGTCGCCGCTACGTGCTATGCGGATATGCTTCTGTCTGGGCTGTTACAGTGTCATTGCCAAATCATCTCTGGCTATAACCTACACAGGTAAGGTCTTTCCGAGGCAGGCCACAAATAAATCGCTCACTTACCTTTTTCTCTAGACCGGGGCATCCTCATCGGGTCATCAACAGGATTAAACGTAGGGGAAAGACCCTCGTACCTCTCGGAAAGTGAATTCAAGGGATACATCAAGACCCTCAAAGCAGTCATCACTGTGAGAAGCTGGGTCACAGCCACTCTTGGGCACATTCCCAGTCCGGAGATCTCACGGTGCATTCATGTAAGCCACTCCGCTGTCATTGTGTCTCCGCTAACATCTCTCAGGAAACAAGGGAGCAGATGGATGATGACAAGCTGGACTGCACGGGAGAGGATGACGTGATAGACATGCTCCAGCAGAAGATGGCCCAAATAACAGTCCTCAAAGCCAACATCCTCCGAACAGCGGCATGCTTCAAGGTTCTATCCTCGGCCGTTCTAAGACAAATGCACAACGACCTCGAGCTATGGCGGTCAAGTCTGCCTGTTTACATGCGACTCGAAGCTTTGGTCCAGTCTCCGACAATCTCTCCCGATCAGCGACGTGTCACCTTCTACATGCACATGTTTTACATGTCGGCACTGATTCTCAAGGCTCGAGCCTTACTTGCTACACAGGGAGAGATCGTCACTTGCTCAAGGGACTCGGAAGCAACATCGGCGATAATCCAAGGAGTTCATGCGGCGCGTAGTTCAGCGAGACTACTGGCGCTTATACTTGATGAAAAGGCCGTAGTGAAGAATTGCTGGTTGACCATGTAAGTCTCTATCCACCCCGTCTTATCATTTGATCCGGCTTCGAGTTGCTTCTTGATCGCACACAAACCTTGTTTGATTTGTACTAAAATCAGAAACAGATATCAATGCTACATTACATGGTTAACACTGAACTACACTGCTGTTAAAAGCTTCCTTGTAGGCGGTGCTAGCCTTTTTCGGCAACAAGATATAACGCTTTCAGACAAATGTGTTGAAATTCTCAAGCTCTGCGCTGCCAGGGACAGGATAGCACACGCATTCCATGTTCGGATTTCTGAATATCAGGACATTCTCAAAGATCACCTACCAAAGATAACTGCCGATCAAGTTGACTCTGCAGCCTTCGACGACGATTCACTTGACAGCTCCTACCTCTTCGCCCAAACCCATGGAACTGCAGAACTTGACCGGCTGATGCAAGAGCTCTGGGCGATGTTATGCTATCCATTGAATCTCCTTAAGGGAAGCAAAGAGACCAGCATTCACTATCCCACCATTGTCGAAGCGTCTGTGAATACTGATATCAACTTCGCTCAGCATCTCGCCTTATCATTTGGAAGGGCTGACGATGATGGGCCCATTGGTCTATCTCCACGTTCAAATAGTCCTAGGGGTAGCGACGGATTTGAGAAGGAGGTCGAGGGTTATGTGAGTGGATCTGTGCCTTATGAGTGGGAAGTTTTGCCAGGGATCAAATGCGCCAGGTTTGAAGTTGAGTCGCGATGCAGCGTACAAGCTTGAACTTTACTGAATCAGAACTCCTTTTTTGCTTTATTCCCTTCTTTACCACTTCGTCAGGTGCGCTATGTATGAGAGGACTTCTCTGCTGCGTGCTGCTGCCTATTCCTACCCGTAAGCGCTAGATCAACTGCTGAGTCATCAACAGGATTCCTCGCACGATGGATGCCTAGGCTTTTATCCGAACCAAACAGGCTCCATTATGTCCCTCCATCAATATTTAAACACCAGTTCCGCTCTCTCCCCTTCACTCTTGACCTATATCCTCAAAACACAACATGCCAGTAACACTCTCAATCGTCAACCACGCTGCTACAGCTTGGAAAGGACCTCGGGTCGAAAGGCTCGAAGACTTCATGGAACAAGCATCACCTACCGACTACCGTCGTTGCAAACGCATCATTCAGACCTCCCTCGACACCGACCTCCTTCAAAAAAACCACATAACCCCCTCTGAAAATGGCTTCGTATATTCTGCCTGCCATGCATACAGCCAACATCACCACCTGACCATTCGCCCCGAAGACGTCTGGTTCGCTATCCTGACTCAGATTAGCTTTTTCATCAATGCCAACGCTGAGGATCTGCGTTCCTTCTTCGTCGAACATGATGGTCAGAAGGAGCTTCGGATTAAGATGGTCGGGACTCTGGAGACTGTCGACTTTGGTGATTTCGCTCAATTAATGACGCGTCTTATTACAAAACATGTCAAAGACTCAGAACTGGGCGATTGGGTCATGCCCAGCTTTTCGACTACAACTGATACCGATCGCGTGGTTGCCTCTGTTCTTTTCATGGGTGCGATGCAAAAGTACTTTACATATTTCTGTGACATCCATTGCGGCATTCCGTCTGTTACACTCCTGGGGGAGGTTTCGGATTGGCAGACCATTCTTAACAAGCTTCCTATGTTAGAAAGACTTGGGGATGAACCTACTCAATTTGTTGAGATGCTGAGGCCTATCTTGAACAACATGATTCGGTCCTTTCAAGAACCCGAGGATGCAGAAGTCGTTCGGTTCTGGAATACCATTGCAACACATAATGTCATGGGAAGCGGCACTGATTACTATACCGGGTGGATAACTGCCTTTTGCTTCTGGGACACAAAGGGAAAGGCCAAATACCGGTCTTCAAGAAACAACGTTAGCGGCGTGAGCTACCCTACCGTCCCTGTCGACGAGATACCCGTTGGTTTTGCCCGTGTGCCGGTCAAGATTGATAACCATGGCAAGATAATCAGCAGTAACATGGTTGCTGGCTCGTTTGGCATACAGGCGATGACAATTAACCAAGAAACAGCGACAAGGGGCATGTTTTCGACCGACAGTCTCCCGGCGATGCAAACCAACGACGTCCCCGGCTCTCAACAAGGAGAATCTGAGGTCTCGACTTCTGATTCAGAGCTAACTAGAATTCAGCCTTTTTCTGGATGGGTGATATATGAAAGTCAAGCTGAACAGCCAACGAACGCTCGGAAGGAGAGGGGATGCTTCGCGCCCCCTGTTCGTCCAAGAGAGCGCATTGCAAGGGTGAAGGCGGAAGTCTCCGAGCAAACAATTTCTCCGACTGGCCTGTCAACCCAACCGCTGAGATCAAGACGGAAAATTAATATGGACAAATTTAACCTTGACGAGGATGAGGACGAGTTTGACTTTGACGAAGAGATAGCTGTTTAAAGAGATATACCAAGGGTTAGAGATGTCTTGATACATGATCTAGAGTATATTTGATAAATAAAGGACGCGAGGTAGCCGGCAGGGGTTAAAAGAAGGTTTAATACTTTACTGATAGTAGTTGCACCCTCTTATTATGTTACAAATACTTATACTACATTTAATATTGTAAACTTAGAGTATTTATAATAGAGAAAATTGATATTTTCTAGTAAGAATTATTCGGAAGATCTATATTTAGATTAATATTTATAATACATTTTAGGATGTCAGAAACCTGTGTAAGTGACAGCCTAGACTTTATCTACTGGTCTTTTACATAATTGCTATCGCCGATCGGCTGACTTGCAACACCCCCAGGAATGTCCAGGGGAACACTCGTCAAGAAGGTTAACCACCGATCATTTTCATTACAATGCTCTATCATGGTCTCAATATCGAAGCTCTCGTCTATGGGCATACCCCAGCGACTTGGAAACACCGCATGGAGCGTGACTCCAGGTGGGCGTTGGCTGGACTAAGCCTAGTAGGCCTCAATGTCACTTGCGACCGCAGAGAACTGGTTCCCTTAATTCCATAGTACTGTCTCCTCTCATGTCTTAAATACTTCTGGTATATGTCTGCAGGCCCTGAAATACGTTGTACAGGGTGGACGACTACAATAACCAATCTAGTCTACAACCATTCAGCTTCATCGCTACCAAGTGGCTTTGGCATAATATCCCACGATGGCTCAGCATCCTGTACACTGACGCTGTGCTTGACGGCTCTCATTTCTCCGAAACCAGTTTGGCGTGTCTCCAGATACTCCTCCACATCAGAAGGCTTCTCGTTGTCGATAGCTTCAAATCCTGACTTTCCGGGGTACTGGCCCATGCTGCGCAGATACTTCATCGTTCCAGCCAGTGACACGTCGACACGGTAGGATCCCCCTTGAACAGACTGTCGGTGCAGAGCTGCCATGACGCCTGAAGCCAGTAGATAGCCTGAAGCATGGTCTAACGCTTGACAAGGTGTTGGTCGAGCTGCTTCACCAGCGCCATAATGCTCAGCCTCGGAGACATTCATACCTGAGCACGTTTGCACAAGAGAGTCGTAGCCACGCCTCCCCGACCAAGGTCCCTTTGGACCGAAAGCAGATAAGCAGGCGTAGATTATACCCGGGTTCAAAGCCGCTACTTCATCCGGGCCGAATCCTTTGGCCGCTAGACTACCAGGACGGAAACCCTGGATGAAAACATCACATGATTTGATGAGTTCTGTCAACTTCTGGTGGCCCTCAACGTTGTTGATATCGATATGAACTGTGCGCTTGCCTCGAGCAACATCGGGATCTGTCTTTGGCAGATCTGGAAGGGTGGGAGAAGTCACCCAGATGACATCAGCGCCGTGAGCGGCCAAGGTTCTGCCGGCCACGGGTGCGGCGATAACTCGACTCATCTCGACGACTCGTAGACCTCGAAGGCATTTGTCGTTGCCTGGTGTAAGACGAGGAGACAGACCAACAGGTCCCGGAGCAACTCTTGTCAGAGAAATAGGGAAATCGTCGATAGCTCTGGATTGAGGCAACATGTCCCATTGTTTGTACGATCTGAGAGCATAAATCGCCAAACGGGATTCTAGGCCGACAGTCTCCAGATCAATACTCGCCCAATCTTGTGTTTTCTTGGTCACGTCGATGCGACTGGCAGTTTTAGGTAAGCCTAACAGCTCCAACGTCCCATCCCGATGATTAGGAAACGAGTCATGGATACGAACATGACCATCCGAAGTCTTGTGTAGACCTCCTATTGTACCCCGAGTAGTGGGTGCAGGCTTCCCTTCAAGTATGTAAAGCCTCTCGGACTTGAACTCGATGACGGAGTGCTTTTGGGGCACAGTCACCTTTGGCACGGGAGCTTGATTTCGTAGAGAGTGGATAAGAGCTGCCAGCAACCCCGAAAGGGCTATGGTGCCTTGCGCTAGGGATCCGATTTTGTAGGAAGAAGGAACTGCTGGCTTTCCATTATCGCCGGGAAGTTCCAGAGATGTAAGGGCGTTGGGAGGTAGCGAAAGACCGTTCCATATCTCGTGTACGATATCACGAGCAATAAAGTTGGTACGATCGGGGGCAGTGTTGGTAGGTGGTGCAACTTGTCCGTCCAAGGGGTCTGGTGTTGCCATGCCCTTAACGCCATCGGTCTCATGGGTGTGGCTCAGGCTGCTGGACTCGGGAACCTCCATCTCGGCGTTGATAGTGTTTTACCTGGATGAAATGAATCGATTGGATGGAATAAGTGAGAATGGACAGGTAGTATGCAATGTCTACAAACTGTAGCAGTCGCTCAACAATATCGCCGCAGTCTTACTTGGCGACCGAAATTAATGCCGAGGGAATTGTTGCTCGGCATTTTCAGTTTGACCCGGAAACCGCCACTCGGTACTCACCATAATACCCCGTCACTGGTGCCGGCTACCTAATTTGCGGGGTAAGGTCTCCAGAATATCACCCCACAAACTTGACATAGACTAGTTACGGCAGCTTTTATGAACAGAGAAATAGCGGATATAACCCAAATAAATTACAGTGTAAAAGTAGTACTAAGAAGTAGATAATATTATACTCAAGCGAACTGGCCAGCATTGCAAGCCTTCACAGTCGAGCCTCTCATACCTGGGACAACAACCCCGCCAGGTGTGCGGACATTCAGACTGTTTCCAGCGCAGCCGCCACCATTAGCCCAGAGGTAGGTAAACGGAATAGCGTCACCCTTCTTCAACGCGATCGGGAAAGACCCTCCCCTCCAAAGGTTCGCGTTCTGTCCTGTTCTCGTTCCCTGAATAGCCCAGGCTCCCTGATTCCGAGAATACGCCGCATCACCAAGCCAAAGATAGCCCCAGTTGTCAATAGTGTCGGGTACAGAGAATGTGTAGGTTCCTGTCTCCTTGGCGTAGAAGTACGCGTTGACAACAAGGGCTGCTTGGGAGTGGTCGAATGTTCCGCTGCCAGGCAGGGTCATGCTAGTGCATGTACTGAACTCGAGCGATTGCGTGTAGCCTGATGACAAAGGGTTCTTGCCCTTGAAGTAATTGGTCGTAAATCCATCATCGTATATATTAGCGTTGAAGGGGCAATTGAAGCGACGGTAATAAATGTCGTTGTTGTCAGCGAATGTAGTCTCGACGACCCAACCTGTCGTTGTACTGGTTCTCTTCTCGGTCACTGTTGAAGTCACAACTTCAACTGACGTAGTTGTAATAATATCGGTACTAGTTCATGTTAGTCTTAAATTAATGAAGAGCAGTAGGTGGGTGACAGCATACTATTCTTCAATGGGAGTGACAACATCAGTGGAAGCTGTGATGAAGGTTGTAGGTTCAATAGTCTGGGTAATAACTGTCGTGGTTGTAGGTGCCTCAAACTCGAGACAAGAGCAAATATCCGATGTTTGGGCTTCACTCCAGTCGCGCGGCAATCCCAAAGGAATGTCGGCGGCGTCATCGCTTCGTTTACTGGGAGTACCACTGCCGCTATCGAAGGTGGGTACAGGGGTTGTGTAGGAGTAGGCCGAAGAAAGACACGTAATTGTCTCGACGGATCGTGTGGAAGTGACGGTTGCCTTTGACCACTATCACAACAAGTATTAGTACATATAGTATAGAGGATGTAAACCATGCTTACCTCGGTTGTGGTCGTGAAGTATGTTGAGAGCACAGTGACACCATCGTATCCAGTTTCAACGCGGGTAAGAGCATCCGCCGTGACGGTGGTGAGGTCGACTTGGTAAACGTTTGTGGGATCGGTAGTCTCATACTCGGTACTGTAACATCAACGTTAGCAGCTGATTGAATAAAGGAAGAGTCAGTGAAGGATGACTTACACGGTGTGAGTTGGCATGGACAGGTAGCTGACGCAGAAAGGTGAGGCAGTCGGGTCAAAGGCCAGGTTTGAGATCACGGCAGGATGCTCAGCGCAGAAGTCGGCCGTGGTTGTTGCACCTTCGGTGATAGTGTATTCGGTCGTGGAGACATCAGTAACGGAACTGGTGAGCTCTGTGGTGAGTGTGGTTGCTGGCTCCGTTGTAGGCTGGGTCGTTTCAGTCGAGGAGCCGGTGGCCTCGGTCGTGACAGTTGGAGCCAGTTCGCTTGTTGGTTGGGTCGTTTCGGTGACGCTGTAGTCCGTAGTAGAGTCATCAGTGAGAGCATCAGTGGTAACGCCAGTAGCAATAGTGCTCGCGGAGTCAGTAGCCGTGGTATCAACTGAGAAGGCCTCAGAGGTGACTGTATCGGTGTTGGAAGCTTCAGCATCACTAGTCTGCGAGACCGACACGAGGCTCTCTGAAGTGGAAGCAGAGTCAACACTGGTCACTGCGCCGGATGTAGCAGACTCCACCGCAGTCGACATGGAGTAAGTCGGCAGCTCAATACCAGATGTCACGGTATCAGTCTCCTTGGTTGCATCGGTAGAGGATGCCCCGGCAGATGCAAGCGCAGACGTTCTAGCAGTGACTGGCTTACACGGGCTAGCATAAGCCGTGCTAGCCGCCACAGCAGCCAACAAGACCTTCTGAAGAAGCATTGCAAAAAAGAGTGACTGGAAACAAATGAATGTACGGGAAAGAGCGACTGCGTGAGAAAGAGTGACTGTGCTGGTGGGAATTAATTCTTTGTGGGAAGTGCAACGTCCTTTTAATCTCTATGAACCTTCAGCTCTTGAAGCTGAATGTAATTTCCGAAAGTCTTGTTTGCTTCCCAGCTTTTGGAGTCGGTGACATGGTTCCTGCTGGTGAGACCTCAATAGCGCTGGCACTAGTGGAAATATTTGCTATTTCCATCAGCCCATCGGTCGTTCCCGCGAAAGCCGCAGTGTGCTTTTAAGCTTATGCTGTTGGTGAGTTTCTTTTTGCTGTATTGCCACGGTCTAGATTCAATAGTTATTGGATTATTGGCAATAGCGTTGGATTTGTCGGACGTTCTGGAGCTGTTCCTGCGTAAGCGAAATTGGACGCTAGGATCTATCCGTGGGTCCGGCGATCAGATCACTTTCAGCCGTTAGCTAGATACATGTACTACGCCCATATTGTCACCTTTTTAGAGGTAGCTATTTAACAACCGAGCGTTATAGGCTTTGCGCCCCGATTTTCATTCCACCGCGATTGGCTCGATGAAATGCTTGTCACAGGTAAGCTTTCCTCCATTCCTGGGTAACCAGGTGGACAGCGTACAAGCTCTTCCAACGTATGATACCAATCGGAACACAGAGCTCAGATTATTCTTTTTCCTACTGTGTTTTGCAGTTAGCAGGCGCAGCTGTTGCACCGATGGCTTATCACTTTCTATCAACAAGATGCTCATATGATACGGTATGATCAAGATAGTGCAACGTAACCAATATCGTCTGCTTCAAACTCTGTTTGGTAAGTCTTCTTTCCTCTTTGTCTCGCGGCATCGTAGGGAAGTGCGTCTCACTATGCAAGTTATGCTACTCAACCCGACGGCAAGAAAATTGCTTGCGGATGACATCTCCACTTTCGAACTCCTGAACCCAGCTATTTCTATTTGAGGCTTATCTTATCAGACCGTGGTCCTTTACTATACGCGGCATGTTAACATATGCTACAGCTGTTAAGTTCTGGAGGGTATTCTTCCAAGATACAAGGAAATGAATTTATCTACCTAGTAGTAATTTGAAAACAACTTTAAAGCTTCTTTGATCGAGCACATGCCGCGTTGGTCTTCCAAAAAGCTAGAATGAAAATATTTGCCTTTGCCCGATAAAGGACTTCAAGAACTAGACAGCAATCGCTCGACATCCATTTCGTTACCATTTGGCGCTTTCAATATTGTGCAGTCAAAGGAATATAAAGTAAGGCTCCTTCTTGTATCCAAATAGCTCCGGTGGGTAAGCTGATAACAGATCTTTCTTGGAATTTAAAAGGGATACAGGGTAATATGATTAGACTGAATTGGGATACTGCCATCATCCACCAGCTTCGGCTGTAATTAACGCGACCAGTAGACGAACCTGTTTGTTCGTTATCGTCTCATTCATCCTCGGGTTCGGTTTATTGTTCGCCACAACTGCGTCTCCGAGCATGGTCAGTGAACTGTATCACCCAAAGGATAGATTTACAATCACCGCCATCTGCAACGCCTAGGAAGAAGCATCGATTCTGCTATCCTTGAACTCTCACCTGAAACAGTTTAGTTAGTTTCTCAGTGCGATTGTGGCCGCATGGATCACCTACGGAACTCGAGTTATCCCAAGTACATGGTCATGGAGAATCCCATCTCTTCTCCAGTTGGCTCACAGCATTATCCAAGTTTCGACTATCTGGTTCCTTCCTGAGTCACCCCAGCCGCTTAATTCGAACGATCGAGGCTAAGAAGCTCTTGAAGCCCTTACAAGATACCATGGAGAGGGTGAGAGAACTGAATCGGTGAATTTAGATTATGGGGAGATCAGAGTGGCGATCGAACAAGAAAAGTGTAAGTGATGCGTCCTTCGATACTGGTAAGATTGCTGACAACACCCAGCGTCCGGTAACACGACCTGGAAATCCATGGTTAGCACCAAGGGTAACCGCTATCGAATGTTCCTTGTCGTCTGTATGGGTCTGATGTCCCAGTGGTCCGGCGACGGCCTTATGTCTTACTGTAAGCCCCACCTCCAAAACAAAGAGGGGGAAGTACCTGACCATTGTACTCTTAGATCTGTCTCGCGTCATGGATACGGTCGGTATCACTGACAAGAAGACCCAGGCGCTCTTCAACGGCCTCATCAACATCTGGAACTGGGCCCTCGCCCTAACTAGCGCCTTCTTCGGCGACCGTGTCGGCCGCCGCCCGCTCTTCCGAATCTCTACAATCGGCATGCTCTTGGTCTTAACGGGATGGACCATTGCTTCTACACGCTTTGCCGAGACAGAAGCCAAGTCAGCTGGCGTCGCGGTTATGGCGCTCATCTTCATCTACGAAATCTTCTACTGTATGGCATTCTCGCCTCTTCCTGTTGCATACTCCGTCGAGGTGCTGCCGTACTCGATCCGTGCTAAGGGAATGGGCGTTTATGTCCTCGCAACAAAGTGCGCTGCTTTCGTCAATCAATACGTCAACCCAGTTGGCCTGGAAAATATTGGATGGAGATACTACATTGTCTATGTTGCGGTTTTGGTCGTCGAAAGTTTCATCGCATATGGCTGGTTCCTTGAGACCAAAGGTAAAGCCTTGGAAGAGATCGCTGTTATATTTAATGGAGAGTCTGCGGATGTTACCGATATTGCCATCAAATCGAAGGGTGTTAATAACGATATACCGAGAACGTTCGAGAACGAGAACGTTGATCTCAAGGTCTGATTGGGATACTGCCAAGTTTAATCTAGGTATAGCGACTGCATGTTGATTACAAATCGTCGTTGCACTCTCTTTACGTTGGTGCATCCAATATTATCACTACTGCTTAGAACTACATGGTAGTGTTCTGAAGGGTCTAGTAACTTGTCTAATTTTTGTCTCGAGGGTGTGCTGGTTTTTCTTTATTCTATAAAATTTCCCGACCCCTACAACAGAGTTGTCATGAAAATTCAAAACCCTTTACCATCCAAGCGGACGAGGCTGTTGAGACGTGCACAAGATGCTATATCAATGGAAAGGGCCCAACCCGTCCTGATCATTAAACTTGAAGAATAAAACCCGCCCGGCGTCCGTGCCAATAATTATTGTTGACCCACAAACCTCAATGTTGGAGGCATTTCGAGGTCGGAAGGCTGGTGGTAGCCAGAAAATCCTGTTATCCCTCCATAGAAGCCAAGACTGATCCGAACTGATCCCATACCCTGTTAGGTGCTTATCGAGGGAAAACATTTCATTCCATTCATCTGGAAAACCTCCATGGACGGTAATCGTCCCAAAGTTTGTCTGGATTTGTTCAGTGCTGGCGTCAAATCGCAGTCGCCAGGGATCAGTGCCAAAGTTAATCTTGAATTGTCGGACAAGTCGGCCGGTTAAGCTATCCCTGAGACTCAGCGATGAGGTTGTATATGAAAGTAAAACTGAGCCGCTCTGAATTAGAGATATTAGATCTGGAATCAAATAAGATATTGCAGGTTTCGGGATCTCGTAGAGCAATTCTACCGTGTCACCCAGTATCGCCACCGAGACTGACCATTCGAGACCAGAGCATGTTCGAATAACTAGGAGTTTCGAGTCTAGCGATGCAGCTAATATACCATGGACGCATTCTGGCATCGATACAATGTTGACAGGAGGTGCACAATCAATTATGCTGAGCATAGACAGAGATAATCCATGTGTTCTGAAATAAGATCCGAACTGTCGATCTTCGCCTTCATTGATTTTGAGATTGTCGCTTGTAGATGATAAGACAAGAAGAGATTGTGAGTCGGGGAAGACTGCTACATCGTAAATAGGCGTTGAAAATGGTACCTCACGAATGATCGATGTATTTTCGATGGAGATAATCGTCACGATCCTGTCCTGTACCAAAATGATCCAACGATCGTCGGGAGTGATGGATACTGCAGATCCTCTGTAGGCATTTGCAGCATGGATGTTGGTTTGGAGGTTCATGACATCTTGTCCTGTAGTTACATCCCAACACCAGAAATGGCCATTCCAATTGTGGCACTGCAAAAAGGGTTCTTTCATGGCGGAGGTCCAGGCCAAAAACAAATAACAGTTGTCGCTTGTGAAACGAAGAAGATCTGGTGCGGCGCTCTTCTGGAGGCCGACATCGAATTGATAAATGCAATTGCACGTATCCGTATCCCAAACTTTCACAACCCCTTCGAGAGAGGAAGTAGCTGCAAGACTGCAATCTGGTGATAAGATCACTGACTCAATTAGATCTGGCCTCTTTTTTGGCTCATAGTTCGTTTCAAGCGAATGATTTGCCCAAATAATTGTGGTTTTGCCTTTTGGTGTTGAGCTTAATAACTCGAAATTTGGTGAAAGGCTAATGTTCAAGTAGCCAGAGTGGGTTTCACACATAGTGAGGCATTGTCCTGTTTCAACTCTCCATGTTCTCACACATCCATCCCAACAAATGGACGCTAGGACTCTCTGATCGGAGGAAAACTGGCTCCGGACAACGTGTCCTTGGCAATCGATGTTACAGATAATTGCGTCAGAGTCGAGCCATCTAATCTCGAGTTTAGTGTTCTGTCTTCTTTCCCACGGGCGGGGCAAATCATCGACTGAAAAGGCGCCGGCTACCATGATTGACGCATCGACGGTAATGGCACAAGAAATTGTTTCCAGCGCCTTTGGACCGCTACCGAAGATGTCTTGCAAGAACGGGGCTACCTTCTGGTATCGAACACATTCGAAAGTCTTGGTTTCCCATACCGCGCAGTCCATGGTTGGAACTGACATTATTGTAAGGAGGGAAGAATCAGGTGAAAACTCAATATAGTAAAACAATGAGCTTTGTCGATGCTGGGAGTTTCGGTATGGGTGGAAGCGCTCTCTGCCCGTTGTTTCATACGCGAGATAGACTTCTTGCGGAGCCTCAGCCGTAGCTAAGTGTCGGACAACAGCCGCACCCGTATATGCTAGGAACACAAGGAGTTTAGAGTTTGGCGAAAATCGGAAAGTTGTCCCACCAGGAAGTTGTTCCAGCACAGGTGTTTGCTCAAAGGACTCCCCGGAATCTATATTCCAGAGTTTCAAAATAGGAAAGGCAGACTTGTTACAGTCCCCTGTGGTATCAAGGTCCCCCTCGCTACTGACATCAGAATTTGCGCCGCTGCCAGTATCGGAGTATGCTCTGTTACTAGAGGTAAACTGCTCCTGGCTCCTAACAACAAAATAGTAAGTGCCAAAGGTGAGGGCGCCTACCCATGATCCATCGTAGGAAATAGTAAGTTCAAGCGGCGAAATCGAACTTTTATCATCAATGACATAAATGCATTCACCTGCTTCAAGAGCCCAGACGCGCAATTGTCTGCCATCGTCAGAGCATGAAACCAAACGCGTGTTATCCAGCGAGATTCTGCAATGTCCCACGAGCTTTCCATGGCCTTCTAATATGTATTGAGCCCGGTCTGATGTCTGGTTCGGTTCGGGCGCATGTTGTAGCCACGAGGGAAGTCTCCTTTCAAGGACTTTATCTAATAGACTGTCGGATGGGATAGAATACAGCAGTGATGAGTACAGTTGAAGAGGATGTAGATCGATGACTGTAGAGTTTGTTTGAAGAAATTTCAAGATCTCGTTAAGGAAATGGCCATGTATATCGCCTTCCCTCTATATCGCCATTAACTCTCTGATCTAAATCATAAGTTCAAGGAGAATAAGAATAGGCAAGCTTGCCCTATCCTAGAGAGGTCAAGGATAGCTGAAGTGACATATGGACCCTATTCTTTCCAGCCGAAGTGTCAAAATACGTACCTTCATGATAGTCCTCAATGTCTTGACACATTGAAGACCCTCCTTCCATCTTCCTAGCAAGCTCAAGACCTCTATCCAGTGGAAGAAGTGTTTCTGTAAGAACATGAATATTGCCTCCTCGTGAAGCGACGGGTTTCTGACACCCTGAAGATGGTAGACCCAATAACAGCAGGCATACTGTAATTCATCAGCAATACAGGTGGCTACCTGGGATGCGGGGATATCGGTGCGTTCTATTCCAGGCCACACGAGACGACATATGTTTTCTTTCAAGTTATCGTTCATCACTCGCAACGAGTTCTGCAATAGTTCTAGATGAACATGTTCCCTGTCGACCCAAAACTCATTCTTATCGCGTTGGTCAGGGTCAGTGAGGTAATCTCGAAGTGAGATATGTAACATCCGGACTGGCTCGTGTAAGCTCGACGGAATATTCAATATGGAATGAAGTGCATTCAGCCGGCTATGCACGAGGCTGAAAGGAACATCGAGCAACCGTGACATCGCCATGACTGAGAGCGGAGCTGCGAGAATAACAAACCCTCCAACTACCTGACAGGTCTGCTCAACAATTTGCCTATGATCCTCTCCAGAGACCCCAGTGACAATCGACTGCAGAACTGGCCCGTAGGTTTGCCCAAGTTGAGTCCCATAGTTGTGATCACTCAGTTGGAGATATTTGGAAAGCCGATCTAAGGGACCATCCACTTTATAGTCTTTGACAAAACGACAGACAGTAGCTGCAAAGATGAAAAGAGGTATTGCCATATTTGTCAGTTGATCTATAACATCTTGCCCGGGCCATAGAGGCGGTAGCTCCAACTGTTTAGGAGCAAGGATGTTGAAATCATCTCGAATGCTTTCGAATTCAGATAAAAGGAACGTCTCGATGTCATGCTTGATGGTGTCTGCTGGCATATCGTGAAGGATTAAAGCTCGATAGCTTCCGCTGACTTTCGCAAACCCGAGACGAATAGGAAGATCTGGCCGACTTTTGATAAGAATTCGGAGACAATGTTGGATAGGACTGGTTCGAGAGAGTAGACGAATCAGCGATCTAATCTCATCATCCCCATCGCATTCGTCCAGGGCGTCAACAACTATTGTAAATCGGGATATTTTCTTCGTCAGGTTTACCATTGGGGCCTCTACCAGCGCAGCAAATTGCTTCGCCACAGACTTGCTGGTAATCTCGGGGTCAGAGTCGAGTGCAGCTTTCACTGAAAGAGCGAATCCTGGGATATTTCTGGAGAGTTGGCGAGCGATAGTAGGCACGAATCTCTGTAGGCTGCCTCGATCTGCTTCGCCTCTTTTGAAGAAGAAGCTAGCGCCGAGGTCACCATGATCAGATCTGTCGCTGGCAACAGTGCGTGCAATAGTCGACTTTCCGGTGCCCGCCATGCCATTCAGCCACAATATTGGCTTCGATGCGTCCTCGGTGATCCAACTGGATACATCTCGAAGGAGGTCGACTCTGGTATTGGCTAAGCACTTTGGATTGTGTTCCTCGGTCTGAGAATCGAAACGGGCGCCTGCTGCGTCTGGCAAGCGATCCAAAACAATCTTCAACTCGATTTTATCAACAGAGGTGCTGTAACATATTAATAATCAAAACTGAATAGAAGATATCTCATCTTACCTCAAATTGGTGATTTTATGTTCAACTATTTCTTTCTGTAAGCGACATCTACCTCAATCATTACGTTGCTACTTACGTCCTCTAACTACCTCAATAGCCTGGCGCGCCTCTTGAACTTTGTTGGTCGGAACATGTCCGAGAAGCTCTGCGGCAAATGCAGCAGCCGTAGCAGCCGCATACCGCTGCCACCCGTCGTTTTTATGCGAGTCTGCATAGTCACAGATACCACGGATTACTAGACATGGGAATCGATCCATCAACCCAGCAGCTTCCATTTCGACGCAAAGAAACTGATGTTTTTCAGATAGACTATCACGGAAAGCGGCGTCCTTGATGAGTGTGTTACCAGATGCAATAATTCCGTAGTGAATCTCAGGATCAGTTGAATCTCGCTCTTGACGCTCCACCTCCCAGGCGGGATCACACTTAACACAAGTACCAAGACCGACATGGGTATGTTCAGACTTAAATAGCCGGTCGTTCTTCGCGCCAGGGTAAGTATAGTTCGTCTTGCCTTTGGTCATGTGACGGTCGTTCTTGTTCCACATTGCTTTGAGTAACTCGGGTATCTTTGACGGCATCCTCTCATGTTCTGCTTGTAAGCGCGCCAGTGCATGCAGGAGCACGGAAGGGGGCCTATTGAGGGACCCTTTCTGTTCCCAGGCCCTTCCTGCTGTCGCTTTGCCAAAATCATGTTGAACTACCCCTCCGGTCGTTCCCTCCGGTTGGCTCACAACAATATCGCCGAGTCGGATATCTTGATCCTCGACGGGACGGGAGATTCCACCACCTATTCCTACCAATAGTCCAAAGCGAATATGAGGCAAAGAGTGGATCAAGTCAGAGGCAGTCATTGCTGCAGGTGTGGTGCCGTAGACTCCTGCCGGGAGTGATGCAATCACGATGTTGTGTTCTCCAAGTCGACCCCAGCAATACGAGTTGCTATCGGTTGCATTTTGAGTGAAACCTTTCGGTTCCTTATGGACCTCTTGAAGCAGTGCAGTTGCTGCTGCTCGTTCGATCGGCAACGCCGCGATCCACGCGATAGTGTAAAGCTCTGGGCTCTCGAGCTGACGTGCCATCTTGACTGGCAAGGCCCGGTTTGTTGGGAATCAGGTCAGCGTCAGGTGACTTACGACCTGAGATTAAGATGGCTATTTCAGTCCTGGTGGGAAGACAAGTTTTGAGATCGTACGGACAAAACGACCTATTGGAGATGAAGATGAGATGAGGGGTTTCTAAAAGTGAGGCTGCAGTTTATGACTAATCTTATCTGCAAGGATTTGAGTCTAATTACAGTGACTTGATTGATGACATAGACCTTGGCTTATGAGTTACCTAATCGCCTGAAAGTTTAAGCGGAGGGACGGGCAAAGGTCGTAGAGCGCTGTTGTCCTGTTTTCTACCTATGGTAGTCTTGTGTGTCCTAGAATTGCCTGGTTTGAAGTCGAAACATCTTTACTTGCTGAACGAACACGTTGCCGGCCGTGCCTTAGACCTTGTACTAATAAGGTGTAAAAGGACATAATTGTGTCTAGAACGGACTTAGTTGAGCCTTTTTCATGTATAGCCGCGGCGTGCAAATGTAACTGGCTCAGCTCCTCAGCAGCGCAAGGTCAATGGCGCGAGTCAGATCCTCTATTCAGCCTGCTATCTTCGAGCAGTAACTACGCAACTCAGTCAAGCCGACTTTGCACCGATAAGCTACCATATCCGAGCCGGGAAATATCTCCACCAGTTTGATATCACAATTTAGGTCGTCTAGTGGCTCGGACAGGTAAGACAAATGCCCGACCTGGTGTTCCAACAAATCTTTCCAAAGATCATATACCTGTCTCTCAATGATCGATCTACCGAATAGTTCCATTAACTAGTCATATTATAACAATTCACTATTGATATACTTTTAATTAGGAAGATTAACCTTCTTATGTGCTTCTACTAAAATATAGTACATTCTGTTAAAATCTAGCTTCCCTGAAACGCACCTCGGTCCCGGGAAACGCACTGCTGAGTTGGTTATTTCTATAACATTACCTAACTAGATAAATCATAACTAGGTATAGCTTAGACTTGCCCCTGAAAAGAGGGGAAGCTGGAGGTAAATGACCTCCATCAATCAATGAACATTCAACCTACGGCTAAACAGGTGGTTGGTTACACAAGGCGGGGTTATGTGTCTTGGAACCCGAGCCTGGTCGCGTTACAAATTTGTGATAAGCGAGCGTGACTTTCAAGTTTTATATGGGTTACACAGAAAGTAATTGTCTCGTGATTTCAGCCGGTCAATGAAATGAGGGTGCATAGCCTATACCGTCAAGCGAATGAGATTTGTCGATGATGATCTGATCCAAAACTCGGCTGACGCTTGCTGTCACAATGTCTCTAATATGCTCATCAAGGCTCTCTGTGAGCCACTCATCCGTAGCCTGATTCAGACAACCCTTACTTGGCAAAAGCCACAAAAACTCAGCTACGCTCGTACCGAATCATTTGCGAACACGTAGGGGAAGACCCCCAGCATTCCGGCAATAAGCGGTCACCGCACCATGTTGTCACTATGCCTCATTGCATCCATAATATCACCATTGATAACGAGTCATTAGCCCCGGGTGGTATGTGTGGGTTACTTTGCGTATAGACTGTGTTGACCGGTTTGCAGACTCATGAGGCTCTGCTGCTCGGAAGCTGGCCTCGCTTTTGCGTGTCTGCTTGAGGCTCCTTACTGTTGGTCTTTATAAAACCGGCATTGTTTTCAACAGAAGATGTGATCCATACAGACCAAAACAAGGCCGCTGAGCTATAATCGTGTCATAATCATCATGGCTGAGGCCCGCTGTTCCGACTACAGGCTAGATGCAGCCAACCTCCAGGCTTATCTTCGGAAAACTTTCGAAGATGACACCATCACAGTGCAGGTAAGACAACTCGTGCATCACAGTGACATATTCTGTAATTACAAGGCTGATTGTGATTTTGGATTAGTGCGTAAACGGGCACTATACTTTCAATCTCCCTGAAGGATCTACCTTGACACAGGTTTGTGACAACTTGCGCGCCTAAACGGCACCTGCTAATGCCGCGTATTCCAGAGTCACTTGAGTGATATTGACCGCCTCCGGACTGGGAAGAAATAAGGCTCTGTAGTGATCGGGCGCATCGCGGGGATGTCATTGTACTTCGGACAGTGGCTATACAGTATGGAATTGACATGTACTTGGCAGGGTGCGCAGTGTGTGACTGTGTAAAGTAGCCGCATGTAGAGCAATAAATACGATGTAGCGTGGACGCCTGATCTTGAAGTTGGTTCTATCGATGCCCAACTTACCATATTACAGTAGTCTCATACTAAATTTATCCAGCAGGCAATATGGGTCCCAGCATTCCACCGATGTTCAAGTCGCAGGACTTGGTACAAAGTTCTGTTCCAGGAAACATCGCAAACATCGATGCACATGATCGTGCTTACGTGGCCCTTAAAGCCAGCTGTGATCGCCAGGGCCACTACCCTTGTAACCTGCTGCAGCGGAAGCAGCTGCAAAGCGCGACAGAGCGCTACCGGCGCTACCTTGAAGATGGGGAGAAAACGCTTTTCAACCTCGGCTTTGAGGAGATTCATTTCCTCGAACTAAAAGACAATAGCAAAGGTCAGCATTGTACCAATTTCTTTTCATGATTTCTTTTGACATGTTCAGAGTTCCAAGAGTTCATCATTCGAAATACCCCTTCGGTTCAAAAACAACTGCACCAAGATGATCGCGATCCCACTTCCCGTTTTGTGTAAGTTTGACAGACAGCTGCTCCTTGATCACTTCGCTACTGACATCTCAAGGTTCATTCAGGCCGATCATTCACGCGCTCCGTTAAACTGCTCCCGCGATAGTTTCTCCCACATCCTGTCATACCATCAGGTGCCTCCTGGCTTCATCGACTACGTTGCTGCTTTTGGCGCTACGCATTATCCGACCGATTATCACATGACGGGCTTCGACTCGGACGATACGCTCACGGTCAAAGACTCCAATGTTGTCAAGATCTCTAAGCTTGGCCGCTCCGGACGGGAGCACCGCATGCAATATCTTCTAAGATCTATCGAGACAGACTCCACCGCTGATGAGTCCCGGAGGTGGAATATACGCCAAACCGCTGTCTACCATTCCTTCGATTTCATAGAAGGTAAAGCCTTATGGATCAACATCAAAGCTAACAGCCGTCTTGAGGATATGGTAAAGGAAGCAACAGCCGACTCTGCGATTGTGAACCCTGCTGCCATGAATGACCCAGCTGAGTCTTTTTCTTCGACACTTTCTGTCCATCTCATCTTCCTTGAGTGGTGTGACATGGATTGGCGAAAGTGTATCAATGATTGCGAAAAGAAGATCAGAACAGTTATAGCCAAAGCTCAGACATCGCGAGTCACTCCACCTGCCAAGTTCAACACCCCGACAAAACGAGCTTTGGAACTTATTGAAGCAAAAGCATCAGATCTCAGCAGTAACAGGAAGCTTTCCAACCCAAGTCATTCACTCTGGCAGTGGACATTGCGTCGACGTGCCAACTTACTGCACTGGGATATCGAGATTAATGAGAAGCTGGGAACTGTTAAACATGAACACCATGTGCAAGAACAACAACTGGACTACCTCAACAACCTCGATAGCTTCTCGTTCGACGAAATCCAGAATCTGCATCACTGGGGAGAGCAATTGGAAAGTTATCGTCTAGTGATGGAGCTCAATCATCAAGCCATGCGCGATATTGTAGAGCGTTATCAAAACTTATCATCTCGACCCGACTCGCCAGCATATATCAAAGACAAATGCATGGATGAAATCAACTACTTCGTCCAGCGAGTTATACGTATCCAGAAGAACCTCGAGATTCGTATTATCCAGGTAAAGTCGTTGATCTCATGGCTGGAAGATGGAAAGTCACTAGTGAGCTCTGACAATAATTTCTTATCTTCTTACTAGCTGACAACAATAGTTTGATCGCATCATCCAATATCGTAACGCCCAAGTCGGCCGCATCTTCACAGAGAGTTCGTTTGGCCAATCACAGAAGATGGAACGCATTGCGTACAAAACAGAAAAAGAAACCATCTCGATGCATGTTATCACTTGTGTAACGCTAGCATTTCTTCCTCCAATGTTTGTGGCTGTAAGTAGACCGACATCAGAGCTTCTTAACCTAACACTATTTCAGACATTCTTCCAAAGCGGATTGGTAGAAGTAAACGCAGGGGCGACAGGCCTCGGCAACGCTGTGTTCTTTCACGACAATGCCTTCGGCTTGTTTGCTGCAATATGTTTCCCACTTATGGCAGTTACATTTGTCTTGTGGGTTGCTGTATTTAGATGTCTATCGAAGAGGTCACGTAGCCGGGTTACATCTGACGTCGTCATGGCTTGATTGATTGCATAAGGAGGAAGGTGTGGCAACTTTCGGTTTTTCTCGTTACGTCTCCCGCTCTTATTCTGTGGTGGCACCGGGAAGGACGATAGGTTTGGAGGCTCATGTGCTATTTTAGTCTCTCTAGAATGACCTTTCATTATTAGATCTTGTAACAATAGAATTTATTCGAAACATTTCACGCAATGAATCAACCCAATCGCTATGCTCCAAGCCCTGGCAATCGAATTCTGGTTCCTATGATGTATCTCTACTGAGGCAAGACGTCTCTCTCCTGTCGTTGGTAAAATGGATCGTGTACACAACTTGGAAGTGTCGTCACATGATTCACTGTCTCTAGTTCATGAGTTAAGCGCTGACAGTCTGCGCCATGGGCATCACCTACTCCGAGAACATCCCTTTTTCGGGTGCGTCCGCTTATCCTTGAACCAGCGCAAGTGATAAATACTTGTGGCTGCAGGGTCACAAGGTCGTCAGGCGAATAGGGAATCAGGCTCTGTAATCGTGCGGGATACAGTACGTGCTTCGTTGCTACGTACTGTGATACATCCTGCTTGGTCCAGCTGCCAAGGGAGAGCATCATGCCCATTACTCGTTGGCTTACATCAAGGCAGAAAGACATACCATGGTGGTGGCTTATGTAGGGTGCCCATTTCAGCCTCACAAAGGGCCTTGTACCGGCAAGTCCAACCATTTATCGATTTGGCGCATCAGCCCAGGTCGAAACTGGTGACCACAGCCGACATACTGTCCCATTTGTCGGCTATATCTGTCACGACAGTGCTTTGTCTTTGTGTTCACCGAAACTTCTCTTCTGACTTCTATTGGCAGATTAACCATAATGCCCGGCTCTCTTGATTTACAAGTCAGTTTCCGCCAGTGGATACAGAGTGTACACAAAGACGGCATCAACGGCCGGCAGGAAGTTCAAAAATACGTACCTACCATACAACTTAAAAGATACTGGACTGAAGAAAGCTTACGCCAGATCATTGAAAGCATAAACCCAAATTTCCCTGTCCAGTTCGAAACGATCACGGGACGATATCTCAAGGTTTTCTCTACCCTGGTATTCATCGACCAACCGGAACACATTCGCCTGTTCCTCAAAGCAGGTATTGGCGATAACCAGCTACCTCTTGACAGGCTCCCTATTGTTTGGAATGGTATCGTCGACAAATTCTTGATGGAACAATGGCAGTTTTGCCCATGGGAATTTTCCATCCAGGAGAGCCATATGAGGGATTTATATACCCAACAGATATTGCCTGTTCAATATACCAAGCCTCTGATGACGGGACAGCATGATCCCACAGAAGTCCATGTCATGGAATTAGACAGTGAAGACTGCAAACTTCCCCCAGAGGTCAGTTATTAAAGATATGTATGCACTTCTTTATCAAGTTACTAATGTTTGTCAGTAGGTAGTTTTCAAGATCTACAAGGGCTCTGACAAGATAAAACTCTACGACAGAGAAGCCGACGTATATACAAGACTCATGCGGTTAAAACCGACGGGAATCGCAAAGTGCTACGGCTCGCTCGCCTACACTTACACCAACATACGTATCATCGTTCTTGAGTATGCTAGTAAGGGTTCCCTGGTTGAGTTCTTTGAAACGCCGTCTCCTATGGCGTCCAGCGACTACAGACAGCTTTGGGAACGCTTGCTGGACCTCTTTGAAGGTCTTTACGTGCTTCATAATATAGACGAAAATGATTCTAAATCGCTCACTGGGTACGTTCACTATACAACAGCTGTTCCCATTGCGTTACATATGCAATCTGACCATGTCAAGGATCCACCAAGATATTCAGCCCGCCAACATACTGGTATTTCCAGGCGACACCGGGTCTCCTTACGACGTCTACTTCAAGCTTGCCGACTTTGGTTTAACTGAAGTAGTCAAGGTGACCGGTGAAGGAGAAACGTTTCCTGTCAATAACGAGGGAAACAAGATGTACTGTACGTCCCTTTTTCCCTAGTCTATCTTGATCATTGACTGACTTGCGATATCTTGACAGCCGCCCCCGAAGCCTTCTCCAATGAACGGATTGAGAGTGAGCTTAGACCCCGCATCAACTCCCTTGCGGACCTGTGGTCCCTTGGTGCTGTCTTGAGCGAATTCATGGTCTGGTCCATTGGCGGTAAGACTCTACGAGAATCTTATCGCACGAGTAGGAAGGATGCAGTGGCAAAGTTGCCCCATCTCAAAGACCACGGGTTTCAAGCATACTTCCACGATGGGGTTAAGGTGCTGCCTGAAGTTGCGAACTTCCACAAGGACATTTTGGAAAATAACAAAAAGGATGGAGACGTATTTTCTCCTTACATGAGTCGATTTATCCTGGATTACATGCTGGTAAGCTCTGGAAAACGACTACAAGCAAAGGGGGCCAAGGTGTCGGTTGCAAACATAATTACCAGCGCGCAATCGAGTCACAAACCATCACGACCAAGGACCCCTGAGACCACCTATCACCCGCCATCAAACAACCCACCCCTTCATAATCGATCAGCCAGAACGTCGACCCAGGTTACCGTTACACAAGTGGTTACTGTCGAGGAGATTTATAACGTGATCAAAAATAGGCGAATCCTGGAAAGGCTTCTACCTAGTGGCCCCTCTGAAGCAGGGATGAATTTTCCAGGTATGCAAAATGCTCGGAATAAGGTCAATGCTCGTGAGGGACGTGACCAGGTATGTATGATAGTTTCTTGTTGGTAATTGGCCAAAGGATGATGTTGAACAACTAGATCTTTGTGATTGATGACTGTGACTCATTACGCAAGCACAGGTATTGTATCGCTATTACTGCTAGAGTTATCAGCTATACAGTCAAGATAACGGACAAAAATGGAATGGATCTCTACTTTGCTTCCGACTCTGTCAACCCTCAAAGCTGCCGCAACAGCTCAGCCGTCGAAAAGAATATCAACAAGAAGCGACCAGTCGATGGATTTTGCGACGTGGCAAAATGTCTTAACGACGTCTTGAAAGATGTGCGCAGGAATGGAATGCAGCCGACAAGCATCTACATTTTTACTGATGGAATATGCAGCCTTGCTGATAACGGTAATGGCGTGAAGGAAGTTATTTATGACGCTATCACGAGTCTGGTTAAGGCGAAAAGAAAACCAAAGGATCTTATGTTTCAGTTTGTTCAGTTTGGACGCGATCCGGAAGCGTATGAGCTCTTGAAGAGTTTCGATGACGACTGCAAAAGAGTGGAAAACAATGTTGAGTTGTAAGTGATGTTGTAATTGATGTTGGGTTCCCGAGAACTGACGATCTTGTAGTGATATCGTTGATAGAAAGTATTGGGACAGTCACGTTCCAAAAGTCATTGTTGGTAGTCTTGATCGCAACAACGACAACGATGACAATTAGGCAATACTTGCATTTAGAATATAGCTTCGATAATCTTTAATATTAATAGAATAACCCAATTTACAGAGGTAGATCGATAGAGCTGTCTTATTCCTTCGCGTTCTTCGCTGTAAAATCGTAGTCTACCCACGTTCCAAGCATTGATCGAACACGCTCATACAGTCCAGATCGACTCTCCACCGCTTGCGAATCCAGCTCGGTATAGTCTTGCAAACTCTCGGATTCTTTCGCTGTCTTAAGAATGGCCTTTGCAGCTGCAACATTCTGCTCCAAGTCAGACATAGTGCTGATTCCTGTAATCGTAGACACCTCAAACGAAGCATCGCAATTCTGCTTGGCCTTCAAAATAGCATATTGCATCGCCAGGAATGCAAGGCTCTCCCCGTTTCCGTTCTCATCCACCCACTTCGCTGCTTCAGCCGCAGCAGCTCTCAAGCCTTGAGGCGCAGGGTGCCAATCGCCTGTCAAGCCCACGGGAATTCCGCCAGTTCTGAGAAGTCCAACTGCCAAAGGACTTGAGCAAAAGACTGACTTCACATCGGCGGCGCGGAATTGAGCAAAACCTCTAGTTTCGGCTTGTGTGTTTTGAAGAGTGAGTTGAGCCCAAGTCTGTATAACATCCACAGGTCGTCCGTAACGCTCTTTTGCGAGCGTGGCAATTTTTGCTAGGACGTCGATGTCGTAGCCCGAGATACCAACTCGCAAAACAGAACCCTCGCGCTGGAACTCTAGCAGCACACCAACAGCAGTGACCGCCTCCTCTACAGGAACGTACTCGACATCATGGCAGAAGACAACATCCAGATAGGTAGTCTGGAAGCGCTCCATCGATCGTGCAACAGATATTCGGATCCACTCTGGTGAGTAGTTGAACTCGTGCTCCATGATACGACCGACTTTAGTCATGAGTTCATAGTCGCTGCGCTTGTATTTGGAAGTGATGCGCGAGTCAGAGAGGGCGGCTCCCATAAGCTGCTCTGAGGGCTCGTAGTATGGCGAAGTGTCGATAGTGCGCACCCCAAGTTCGAAGGCGCGGAGGAGGATGTCGACGATAGGAAGGGACTCAGGCTTTGGGGTGAGTTGGTAACTGAATCCTGCGCCACCCATTACCAGGGCAGATGCGTGAGTGGGTGCCATGATTCTGTTGTGATCTGGTTGCAAGCGTGGGCCCTGAAATGGCGGAATGAAAAGATGAGCAGAATACCTTCCGAACTGGATGTTTCTTAGCTTCTACTTGGTGTCGGATTGCGTCTGGAAATGAAATTGGAGGAAAGATTATGCATGCAATCTAAATAAACCCTCAGATTCTAGACTAACGTACCCCACACCGTTGGGGTTGCCCCGTGGGGGCATCGGATAAAGGTTTTTGCTTATCCTTTGTACTTGTTTACATCTTAAATCTAGCACTCTTGATGGGAAGACGAGATATCTTCAGAGAGCCTTCACAACCTCAAAGTTACAACCAAGTATTACTTGGTCCATAGACGCACTACCTAGTCGCGAAAATGAAAATCAGTTGCATACTTTGAAGAGGCTGATATTGTGGGAATAAGCTTCAGGCCCTAGCCACTGTTGGACCTTGAACAGGGTTCTTGTTTGTGTCCTTGTGGAATAGCGGCTCAGGTCGTCACAGATATCCATTAGAAGGAAGTAGGCTTCGTTGGTTTAAAAGCTGATAATTTTATTCTATATGATTTTTCTGCTTTATGCTTCTTATTGCCGTCGGCTCGGATTCCATGGCAGATGGGGATTCGGTGGCAGAACGAAGCTTCTTCAGTCAGTCTCAACCCTTCTCGCATTGATAGATGGACATACCTGTTCTGTCTGTTTGCCAGGCCCTCATACATGAGGTACCAAGCGGTAAATGAAACCAACAAGCCAGTAGCCCCGCCACATTTGAGCAGCACTTTATTGGGAGCTCCCGACTCTTCAGTACAGAGATTGGCTAGTCCAAGCAAGAGCCAGGTGCAGTTCACGAGAACGCAAAGCGTCAGAGAAAAGGCGTTTGACTTCATAGTGCACAGAGTTATAGCCACTGAGAAGATAAAGAATCCCTGAAGTTGTAAGTCTTGAATCATTCTTGAAGTAGCCGTTCGTGGACGTACCGTCAGAAAGAGCCCGTTGGCATGGTTGTAGTCCGCATCGCTGGGGTAAGCGTCCCTGACGTTGAAGAAAGGGATCATACTGATAGCGTAGGAGATCCAGAAGCAGCCATATGAGCAGGCAATAGTTGCACTGACGGTGTTGCCATTCGCAATATCCCTATGAACCATGAGACTTCAACCGCGAATAACGTGTATTGAACGAATTGCCACTTACCACATGCCAGAAAGTAGTTGAGCAAGACCTCCATAAACCAGAGCTGGTCCAATGACAATATTCGGAATAGTGACGCCGTGAACATTGAGATTGACCAAGGCGGTCAAAAATGTCGCAAAGGCGAAGCCAGAGAGACCTAAGGGACCGGCATCTCCAAACTTCTGGCGAAACTCTATGTCAGCTTGCCGAGCTGCATCTTGTTTGGTCGTGGTCGCATAGCAATTGGTCTTTGTTTCTGGACAATCATCTCCAGACCAGAGTGTTGCTTCTTTATCTCCACTGGCTTGGTCTTCCTGAGCTCGTACTGCCGACATCTTTTTCGTATTGAGACAATGTTTTCTTGACAGGATAGGTAAGTATTACGTGAAAGAAAAATATTTAGAGTAAAAAGAAGGGGGATCTCTGCAAGCTGCCAGAAGCTTGTATTTCTTTTTAGTGGATTCAGTGGATCTCCGAAGTAGGAAGAAAAATCACATCCTAGTCTTCGGCTTCTAGACCAATCGAAGACAAGGCCGGTGATCGTAAGTCTCCGCAATCTGGTCACTATTAGTGTTTCTGAGCTCAATCGGAGTGCCAAGAATATCGCCATCGCTGCGCATGCATGAATATGTATAGAAGCCTCCACAGAGATGGGCCATCCTCCCAGTGGATTTAGGTAAACCGTCATAATGCAAGACAATCATAGACAATCACCACTATTATAGCATACGATGCAAGATAGAAAGACTTGAGGACTCATCGTAAATTGTCAATAATTCTTCCAGTGCAGCATTCATCGACTGATTCAGTTGCACGACCCGAGCAAAAAAAAAGAATTAAGCTATTCTGTTATGTAAGAGCAACGAGATGTCGGCTAACTCGTTAAGGAAGGCCAGCACGGTGGATACGGGATACAATTGGGTGTAGGTAGAAAAGACGCCGCAGGTCGCCGACAGCCGATGGTGACGCGCTAGTGTCGCGACGCGTCTGGAAGTTATGCACATTTGTGCATTCCTGGAATACCCTACAGTCGGTATTTGCGATATCTCATGATCAAAGAACGATCGACGACACTCATGAGACAGATGAACTATTGTAGGCTTTGAAGGCAATATCAAACGCGTTATTAACCAATCGAGAATTCTATCCCACTTTCACCGCTGTACATATGCACATAAGATATGTGCCAATAATCTTTCCTGTATAAAGAACTATCGACACTTCATAAACCAGGCCCGGTTTAAAATTGTGATTAGATGTCGGTAAATGAGTTTAGATCAAAAGAATCACAAGATTTGTGAATTACTCTGACATAGCTTGCAACCTCGTTTCTATCGGTTCTCTGAGACTAAAGGTGAGAACTGATTCCATCTTGCGACAATAGTTGGGCTGCAGTTACAGCTGCAGTCACGCCTCTCTCAATCGCACCATCAATAAACCCCCTCCATCCATTCGCCCAGTCAGCGCTAGCAAACAAGACCCGTCCATGTGGTTTCTGAAGCTCGCTGAACCACTTGCTCATAGAGTCAGGTCCCCAACAGCTCCAAGTGCCCTTCGCAAGACTATCGTTCATCCAGTCGTGCGTAAGATATGCTTCAACATCTGCATCTGGCTTCAGATGGGCGTTGAAACTAGAAATGATATCGGAGTTGGCGCGCGGATCTGTAAGATGACCACCATAGCCAAAGCCAATACAGTATGTACCATTTTGGTTAATGGTACCGTTGTGGTCGGAGAATGCAAAGCACCATGGTGATGCTCCGTAGCCACTTGCCATTGAGAACCAGCCATCTTCAGTTTCTCTCATTTTGAAGTGGATCTTGGCGCCTTGGTTGATGTGTCCAGCATTGACAGCCTCTTGACGCAAGGGCGAGAGTGGGGGACTAAAGGTGACGTCTGCCAAGCAATTCCTATTTCTGGGGTTAGCGCTTCAATCGAGACTTGAGTAAATAACAACTTACAAAGGTATTGTTGAGATGACATAACGAGCTTTAACAGTCCGGCCATTCTTTGAATTCAAGGTAACGCTGTTCTTATCTTGCTTGACCGCGTCGATTGTAGTCTCGAAAAGTAAACGACCGCGATATTCAGATAAGATAGACAGCGCCAGTGACGTCATGCCTCCCTTGCCTAACTTGAAGATACCTGCATGTTCAAAGACACCAGCCATAGAGTGACCGCCCAGCGCATACCAGCGCAAGACTTCAGTGAATCCGCACTGCGATCCGGGCACTGATCCAAAGGAGCTTATCATGCCATCGAACAAGTCCTTCTCAATTTGAGGAATGTCGAGCTGGTCCAGACGGTCCTTGGCAGAAAGATGATCGTATTTCGTCCAGAGTGCTGGCTGTCGCATCAAATCACGACTGGTTAGGCCATCGATGGCGAAGAACGCGTCTGCAGCTCTCTGAACCGCTGCGGCTGTTTCCTTGCCGTCAAGATTGCTGGGTTCTGAAAAAGCCGCTGCATACAAGGTGGATTTGGCGTCGACCGTCCCGGCTGATGTTTTTAGGTTGCCTTGAAGATTGTAGCGATATATCTCGGAGCAGACATGCGGCTGGTTCCTGTGTTGATCGTTTAGAGAAATGGTTGGTGATAGAGGACAGTTGCGCTTACCAATGAACCCAAGTTCCTCCCATCTCGAATTCTTCCCCCATGGCCTTTCCTCTTCTGAAACCATACTGAACCCAAAGCATTGATGCAAGAGTGGAGAGGCACTGGGCTCTGCAAGGGTGATCGTCTGGAATGCCATTGACAAGGCGTCTCACTTGTCCTAAACCCTGCTCCAGATCATCGACGGAGTCCGTCCGAATGGATAGTTCGACTAGAGCCCGGCCGTAATTGTCTACATATTCCAATCTGTCTGGATGATTGTACGGGCAAAGTTGGGCAACCTCTCGCACAGTCTCCAGAGACTCCCTTAAGACCTTGTAATCCTTACATGCCTTGAATTCGTCAAGTAACATGTAAGATAGATTGTCGAGGTATCGCAATCGTTCCTGGGAATCTTCGGGTACTCGCTCTATAGCCTGGCGTGCCGCGCTTATAGCAGAGGTCAGTGTGTCAAAGAATCCTGTGTGGTAATACAGATCCCAGCGTATCAGACCAAGGTCGTTGTAGTAGCGGGGTAGGTCGGGATCCTGATCCGACGCAATAAGCGTTGCCCTTTCAGCCATGTCTGCGGCTTCTTCAAGCGTCTGCTCGTCTCCTGACACATCGTTATAGTGCTTCTTTAGCTCGAGTGCAAGGCTGCTCATATAGGACGCCAGAGCAAGGTCATGCTGATCAATACGGCTGTTGTCATCCAGATCTCTCTGTGCGTCGTGAAGTTTTACTGTAAAGTCGGCCATGACGAGCTCGAAACGTTGTCTCTTCGCAGATGTTAATAAACCAGTTGAGGAGTTTCCAGTGATATAATCAGTATAAGTGTTATTATCAGGTATGAAGATGAGTTTTCAGTCATCATAAGCTGAGCTGCAAGGGAGGACACGTCACCTGATTATCTATTGGTAGTTAGCTAAATTTAGGCATTGGTTCCATAAGCATCGTGATTATGGTCTATCAGCCAAAATCAGCCTAAAGTATGCGGTCACTACGCCTGACCAAAGACGAGGAATCACGTTGTACAAAGTGCAACATGGCTAACCCACTTATGAGAGAAGAGAAGAGCTGTAGGTCGAAGCAGACGTGAACCAAGACTTTGAGGCCGCTCAATCAATCTACTTCGCGTTCGATATTGGAACAGGGCACACTTTATCAAACGAATCTATATATTTCCCAACCCAGAAGCGAACAACAGTAAAGCCTCTAAGATTTTAGAATAGCGGCATGTGTAGTACCGCCTGTATATTCCAGTTTGCCGTTTGTCTGTGGGCCCGGCTTGAGAAAGCAATTACCGGCAGCCGGGACACCAGCCGCCGTGGCGATGTTGCTCCAGCCTGGAATAAAAGAAACTGCCTCACATTTCTCAGATTTCCCAATTGGATAAGTATTCCAGCTTGCACAAGCCTCGATACAGGAATGAAAACTACTAGCAAACACCGAGTATACAGGGACGTTGGCTGCGTTATCGTTGCAGTGTACAGCAAACTTCGAGAAGGGTTTGACTATGATTCTTTGTTAAATTTATAGTCAGTGGGCGCCGAAAGGGCTCTTACATTCTGAAGTATATGTGGTGTTCGTCAACTCGTCTTCTTCCGCCGAGCAACCGTTCGAGATATCTTCCCTCTCATCCTGGGTTGCAGAGGCGGAAGCAGAAGTAGCTGTGGCTGAGGGAATCTCGGGACCCGAAAGGGAAACAGAAGTAGCGATGTATGTTGAGGTTTCGGACGCAGAGAGGGAAACATATAGAGCTTTCATCTCCGCTTGAGATTCTTGCTTTTCCTTGATGGTTACGCCAAGAACGGCTCCCAGCGCAACGGCAACTGCGCAAGCCACAACTAAAGCGATGGCGAGGGCAATGACCAAGCAAGAGCATCTCCGCTTCCACTTGTTTTCCTCGCCACTCCCAGAAACTGTTTGGACCGTCGATTCAGCTTCTGGTTTCGGGGGTAACAGCGAGTCATTGTGGTACGCATTATCACTGGTGGGAAATTGATAACCGTTGTTTCCTTGACTGGACCAATTGTTATGTTCGCCGTTGGGGTAAACAGTTTGCGGTAGATCCGAGGGAACTACCTCGGGGGATGTGTCGCACTACCAGCTTCGTCAACATGTTGTTACTGAGGTCTTTCAGTCATGACAGCAAGCGAACTTACATGTGTAGTCATCGTAACGGCGAGCAGTTACCTCAACACCACAGGCACTCGCACAAAGTGAGCTGGTCAAGGCAACCGGGTCTGAGAAGCTTCGCCGAGAGCCTGTTACGACCTTTTTATTCTTTACCATTGACAACGTTTCCAGGGGCGAGCGGCCGAGTTCTGTCACTTGCATGTGCTATGGAAGAGTCTCGACTCAAGTTTATTGAGTGGCTGAACCGTCAAGGCGTACAAGGTGGAGGTGTCTTGCCCCATGCAGGACTACCCCAGACCGATCGAACAAGATAACGAAAGTCAAGTTCCGTTGCAACGAGATTTAAATCGACCTAATCGCCTCACAAAACATCAAGGACCATCTATTTATTTCCCAATTCTACTGGGAAAATGCCTGGTGTTACCTTTTCATTGCTACGCACCGAAAGTTAGGCCACTTAAGAAACTCGATCAGCCTAGTCTTACCAACAAAATTTGTGAGCACATTCTTTCTTCGCGGGGATACATGACGATCGGTGCGCTATGAAATTGTGGCGTTTCTGTTGGTTGGATTGCACACTAGCAAATAATTGGGCGGTTGCACTGGTTATCCTTGGTATCGTGGTTGCGAACAGGAATTCATGTCTCAGGTTTCACAATGAGGCCATCCCAGCTTGGAGACCGACAGAAGTCCAGCTGAGAGAAGAGGCTGGGAGGGCGGGAAGATTGTATGCACATGTATCAGCTTCGTAGCCTACCGTCACAACAGACGTACGGAACATCTGTTCCGCCTAATAAGCGATATACCTAAGTACTCCTGTGACTCCGACTTACCGTTTTGGATGCGGCTTGCAACAAGCGGAGAGGATTCAGCTGGAAAATATGGATGCAAAGTTCTGGTGAAGCTGAATAAAATTTACGCATCAGGGATATGCTGTGATCCTGACCTGAGCATCCGATGCAATTACTTCGCTGTCTGGTGGTCCCGGGGATAACTCAGTCCCTCTATCTGTACTTATGTTAGTTCGCGTGTAATCGGTTCAAAGATCTAGATTCAAGACTTAACCTGGCTCCCACCATTTCACTCTGGTACCGAGTATGGTGGCAATTCTTGAAATATAACGGAAGCCGACTGGTGTGGACCGCTGCAAGCCTTCTTTTTCCCCGTTGGCTAAAGGCAAGCGTTTTCAAGCCACATATTCTGTAGCCGCCCAGCCTGCTTTCCAGTGTCAATCCCGTTCCATGACTGGATGATTTCTAACTACTGGACAAGGGAGTCGTGGATAATGATGTAATCTAAGAAAAGATGACTCATAAAGAGGACAAACATCATGGGGCTTGGGGTAACACGCAGACCGCCTGATAGTCCCTTTTCGGTAACTCACCTTGTCTACACTATCTGTATAACCGGGCGAGAACAGCAAATTGTGACAGTCTGCAAGGTTCTAAACCCTCAATGTTCCGCCTTTGCGCCTACTGTTATTTTCTCCACGAAGGCTTTTGCTTAAATCTCTTATCGTTCAACAAAATAAACGATGGCAAATAATTCAAACAGTATCTTACTATTGATGGGATGCCCTAAGTTTTCCTCAGTATCATACGGTTCAGTACTCTTATCTATGTAGTACAAAAGTAATCCTTCTTTTCCCCAGCTTAAGGCTGTAATAAAGTTCAGTCAATCCAAGATCTGACGAGGTGTCCTTGATCTGGAGAACGGTGACAAATGTCGATGGGCTGGCTTGAGATAGCCTACTGGGGTTACCCGAAGACATTGCCGACGTTATCGGGTGGGTACTGCAGGTGCTCCTAGGTTTGGCAACGAGCAATAGTGGAGACATAATTAGAGCAAGAGCAGGGATTGTTTGGCGAGTAGTGCTTAGTCTAAAGTCCACCCTAGCACTCGTAAGTACAGAAAGTCTAGGGTAAGTCAGGGCTATAAGAAAATACGTCAAGGTACCAGTAGTGCCTAACGATAACAGTATTCAGCTATGAGCTGAAGAGAGAGAATTAAAAAAAAAAATAGGTTGTTTTAAGACGGATTGCATAGCAATCTCGAACTCCAATCACCTCAAATCGCTTGTGGAGGGAGGCAAAATGGTGCGATTTATCAGACTCAAAGCCTTTTCCCCACGCGCCTGAAAATGCCTTTGGTAGCATTTCAGCTGCTGAACTTCCGTCAGGCCACACAAAAACGCACGTCACTTTTAATTGTGTAGCTCGCCGTTTTGAGATAAAAAAGGAAACAATCGAGTATTCTTAACGTCAGTAGGTAACGCCAGTCATTCTCGTGCTTTCCCAAAAATACCCTTGGGTCTGACTATCTTTAAACTCTTGCAAGGCGTAAGTCCCGAGGTATACAG